ATATATGAAGAGCGGCTTTCCCCCCCCCCTCCCCCCCCTTCCCGCCAACTTTATTAGCGTTTTCGATGGCAGGGGCTTGAAGGGGCTCGAAAGGGGCTCGAAAGGGATAGACACAGTGCCATTAGAAGAGTTTCCGGGGTCTATTGGATTTCCTCGAAGCCATACCATCACGGCACATGCTGCTCTCGAGGGGGTCTTCCCCCGGTCTTCCCCCGGTCTTCCCCCATCCGACAAAATGAATTTTCTCCCCCGGCTTTCTCCGCTTATTAGACGGTACTTTGTCAGGGAGGGAGAGAGGGAGAGAGACGTCTCTGTCACTTTCGATTTCGCGGGAGACGGGGGAAAAGGAACCTAAAATTACCCTATATTTTCTGTTCCGGGTTAGGCTGAATTTTGACCCGAAAGGTTTTCCCTCGTTCTCTCGGGAGCCGATTCTTGCGCGGTTTCGTGCGGTCGGCGCTGCGCAAGAAAAGATCATCTCGGGGAAGAAAACTCACTTCGTCTCCCGCGTTTTATGCCATTCCCACCCATGAATGTGGATTTTCAGCCCGAAAGGTACGACGAGGCTCTTCCCCTCTTTTGTTTAAAATGAATTTCGGACGAAAGCGAAAGAGATGGGACTCGCCGTTGCCCAGGAGCCAGAAGTTGAGCGGCTTCGGCGACGCCTCGACGAGGCACTCGAGCGTGACCCGGCCGCCGACGGGAGCCCCGATCATCTGCAGGCTGGCCCGGACGCTCGGCGAGACTGAACGAAAACGCGACAGATGGCGGGCGAGTCGAGAGAGAGAGAGAGAGAGAGAGAAGGGAGTGGATGTCAGACGTACAGTGAACGTGGAGGAAGATGGTCCGGGTGACGGAGGGAGGGACGCCGTTGTTCGCCGTGCATTTGTATCCGCCCATCTCGGATCGGGTGACTTTGGCCAGTTCCAGTCGGGAACTCTCGTGCCGGGGCACTGCACCACGACGACGCCTCATTTTTTTTAAGCGTGCGATGCGAAATTGCGAGGAGTATCGTCGCGCGAAAACGAGGGACGCGGGAAGGTCGCGTCCCGCGTGTTCTCGCGACGGAGAGTCGATTCGTTCATCGACTCGTATATAGATGGCAGCACGGTAGCGAAGCGGACGGAGGGGGCCGAGCGGATTAGGTTCGAGCGCGTTCGCTTCCGTTCTCAAGATGGCGAGAGTGTCGCCCGCACCCAACGGCCCCTTCGCGTCTCGAGGAAGGAGTGGAAACGGATCCAGTTGCAGCGTTTGCACAGCGGGTGCGAGTCCCTCGTCGTTCGAGCGCGTGGCGCGAGTCCAAGGCTCTCTCGAAGTCGGTTCTCGTTTTCGTGGAATTTGGGCTAGGGTCCGATCGAGAAACGACTTTTTTTTTTGACGGTCTTGTAATAATATTTGGTGGCCCGACGGCACCCTTGCCTTTTGTCTTCATGACTTCTCTCCTCGTTAAGCTGGAGGAAAGGTCGATGGCTCTTTTTTTTGTTGTTGCCCTTGCTGGTGATGGCCTTGCCGGTCTCAGTGCAGCATTTAATGCAAAAATGGAGATGGGCTGAAATCGAGCGGAAATGCATAATCTGGGATTCCCAAGGGAATTTCTTCATGCAGTTGGCTCCACAATTGCTACAATCTTTCCATTATTTTGCTACATTCAGAACTTTTAGCGATATTGACTCTTTTTTCCATCGAAGAGCAAAAATGATCCCGTCTGACGCCATTAAGCAATTTGGGACATTTGCATTTATGGGGCATTTTAAGGACATTTCCCCCGCAGGAATCGCAAATAAATGGAACTCCTCTCCCTCGAAGGAAGCCACCGACGCGCTCACGTCGCCCCGAGGAAAAATGCGGTCTCGTAATTTTGCAAGCATTTCCAGCCTCCTCTGGTTTTACTTTTCCAAATAAACGACTTCACTGTGCAGAAATTGGCACTCGAATCGCTCAAGTGCAGTGGCTTATTTTACTGGGGGGCAAGGGGGGCAGGGGGCAATGGGGGCAGAGGGCAGGGGAGGCAGGGGGCGGTCCTGGCAGCCCATCAAAGTGCCTAGCGCCCCCTCGACGCATCGCTAACACCGTTCCTTCCCCCCCCCCCCCCACTTGGCTCATGAGCCAAAAATACGCTACTGCTTAAGTGTGTTCATGCATTCCGATGAACCTCATTCCCACGGAGCGGGATACGCCAACGAAAAATTTCAAGTTCCAACACTTCCTCGGCCATCCGTATGTGCATGAAAGAAGCATGAAAGCTTACCTTCGCCCCTTCAAAGGGCAGGACCGCGTGTCGTCGAACGCCTCCTCCATCTGATTTTTGGCACCTGTGCACAATTTCAGGAGGTGGTAATAACTCAAAAAAAAGGTAAGCTGAAACGAATGAAGGCGAAGTGTGCAGAGCGCAAGAAAAAAAGCACCGATTGCTGCGGAAAATTCCACTTCGTCGTGTCTGTTGACGTTAAAATATGCTATGCAATATAAAATATACGATACCGCCAATCGTTTTTATATTAGACTCCAAAATACCGCAATAATATTTTATTCACTGATTCAATATCAAGAGAATTTTTTTTTTCATGCTAAGAATGTTGTGCTCATCGTGCTCTTCGGAGTTATCAACTCCTACGAAGAGCGAGACCCACTTTCTTGCACCTCAATCAGGTAGTCAGGTCCCGATATGTTTTTATTCTAATAATGAACTTCATTTTCCTCGCGAGTCGCGCAACTATCACCTCAAGTTCTGCGGTTAGGCGAATGCATTCACTATTAGAGATGGCTTTCGAGTTTCCTGCGATTTTTGCTATCGATAACGGATGCGGCGCATGCCAGTCCTCGCATCCGGTACATCCAACATTTTCGGCAATTTGGACATCAGTCACAATCACTTCCCCGACACAAAAACGAGCGCCGTTGCCCATTGCAGGGCGGACGCTGCATCTCTCGAACGGGCTCGTGCGGAGGGAGACGGAGGACCCCCTCTTCCCTTACAAGTTCACCTTGACCTTGGAGATCCAGGAGGTGAAAGTGGAGGATTTTGGCGTCTACGAGTGCCATTCCAGAAACAGCCTTGGGAATGCCTCCGCGACGGTCAACCTCTACGGTACGGTAGACTACGCCTCCCTGATTTCATCGTATCGAGTTGCGCACGGAGGAAATACAGGGAAACCCCAAAAGGGAAACCGAAATGTAATATCGCATTTATTAGCTCTGTTACAGGTAATTTAGAATAAATACGACCCCTATTAACACTGATAAAGAATTTGGCTCGTCAAATATTATTTTAGTAGTTACGGTGAAGACAGAAACAGTGACTCGATCATAATGGCTGTAGTGAACAGATTCCACAATGAGTTCAATAAAATCCCTACTCTAAAGACTTTGCAGCAGTTGGCTATGAAATGTTTTATCGATATATGAAACACATCAGCAAAACATGGAATAGCGAAAAAACCTTGAAAAAACCAAGTGGTGTCTTTCGGTTACCCTTTTCTTGGGCTACGCCATAAAATTATATTTAAAATGAACTCAATTGAAATAAACCTAGATTGGATACCATGTGTGTCGAGTGAATTTTGCAAAAAATTCATAACTTCAAAATGAATCCACGTGTGCCAGAAACATTTTTTTTTTTCCCGCCATGGAACAGAGATCCAGGTTCCCGGACAGAGGGAGATGGACGACTGGAGAGTGGAGGAGGAACGTGAGAAAGAAGAAGTGAAAGTGACCGTAGTGAAAGTGAATGTGAGCGGAGGAGTTGGACCTTTGACCAGCAGAGATTCCATCAATCAAAAATCCTACATCCTCTTGCTGATGCCACTCCTTGTCCTCTGTCAATGAAGTCTCATCCGTGGTTCACGTTGAGTCAAATTTATTCCTAACAGAACAAAAATGCGCAAAAATGAAGAACCATCAGAGTTTGAGAGCAGCACCCTTCGGAAGGCTCACGGCAAGGGCCTTCTTCTTCGCCGCGCCCTTGTGACCGAGGACGTGGGACGTCACCTCTTCCTGAAGGCGCGAGAAGAAGTGCGAAGACGACGTCAGCTTTGTATTTTTCACCCTCTGCTTTTCCCTCTTGCCCTGTTTATTGGTAAAGGATAAAGTCGATGAACAGATCATTCCAGAACCACAAAACTGGATTCTCATAGTCTCTTCAGTTTGCTCTGTATAGCAGAGCCTCTGAAAGCTCATTTAGAAAGAACAAGGTCTTCTTGCTTGTAGGATAAAATTACAGCCATTGTCACATGTAGATAAAGAAGCACTTTCCTGCTTCTATCTCAACAATCTAACATATCATCTTCAAGTGGAAAATATAGTTGGTTCACCTTGATTCGAGGTACCTTCCCAGCTTTGAGCAGAGCCTTGTGTTCTCTGTCCTTGCGCTTCTCCCTCTGTTGCTGCTTCTTCCATCTCCTCTCTCTCTTCCGGTCTGTTTTGGTCTTCTCCTCTGCTACCTTCAGCTCTCCCTTTTGCTTTGCTAGTTTCATCAAAGATGAAAATCACATCATCCAACCATATACTTACAAAGAAAGAGACTCCAAAGGACACTTACCTTTGACTTCTTCAGGCGCAAGAAGAGTGGCATCGCTGACAGATGTGGGTGCCACTTCTTCCACTGTGATAGCTGGGAGATTGCTGACCACTTTCACCTCAGGTTCGATCTGAAACAGGGGGCATTAGAAAGTGCGACATTTGACCGCCGGGGCCACAAGGACCTCATCAAGAATCTGACCGGTTTGGGAATGTAGTGGAAATTGGAAAGTGCGTCGAGTTTCCTGAACAAGGACTCCATGCACCTTCTGATCTCTGTATGCTCTGGATTTTCCTTCTCTTCCTTCTCTGCCTCCTGCGCTTTCAGGTACTCCTACACAAACACTCATGATGTCACCATGGATGATCGTCATAGCAATGCCAATACATTTAACCTCCTTAATCCTAAATGCTTACCCAGGCAAAACATTCTCTTCTAAATATTGGCCATGCCACTTAGAGGCTCTCTTGTAATTAACTGCTAGTGGTTTGCCTGCTTTCCTTTTTTTGTCTACACACACTGACAACTGAAATTTCCACTCCAGAGCCCAATATTGAAAAATCCAATTGACAAGAATTCTGGGCACTAACACTAAAGAGATTATAGTTGACAATTCACACCTGTTCATAGATCTTAGCAAGGCTGAGCTTGCTCTTTTCTTGGTCCAACACAAGTTTCTTCTTGAAAGAGAATGGGTCCTGAGCCGGTTTCTCTTTCCGCACCACATCATCCCATACCCGATCCTTCACCCTTTGCAGGATGAGCTGTTCCAGGGTTTGGGTCACTTCCTCAGTCATCACAGGAGCTAGATACAGCAAGTTCACAGCAATGGATACAGTCAGCAGAAAATATAACTTCAAAAATATTTTGAATAGTGTATACACCAGAGAAACCAGTCTTTCCAAGGCATATATAGAGGCTTAATTTGGACTAACTAATTGCTGAAATGGTATCAGCACTATTTGTTGCTCCTCAATAGTGTCACTGATGAGAAGGAAAAAATGTCTGATTTCTTAAGCATCCTGACCATATTCTTTCTTGCAACATATGCTGAATAGATAAATTTAGTAAAAATGTGGATACCAAAATGGGTACATCAAATTTATAAGCCATAAGAAGTACAGCCTAGCATGAAGGATTTTCAATGGACTTTTATTTTTGCTTTAGAGGCTATCAATTTCTCTTCTACCAGTTTCATCTTTTCATTGCATTTTGTTTCTTGCAACTGTAAAGTCCTTAACGAATACTCATATACGAGTTCCATATAGCACATACATATCATGCACATGGGAGTAGGTTGTGTGCAAGTGGAATGGTCATGATGAACTGAGCATTGAAATGGCTATGTGACAGGGTAACTAAAGTTGATGGCAGACCATCTGTACTTACAAACCAATAAAAATTATTTCAAATTCTACAATTGTCACAAGAAGTAGACACAAATTAGATAGCCCTCCAGGTAAAAGTGGATGAGAAATAGTGCAAACACATAGATTATATTTTGCATTGAAGCTTTGTTGTGTGAAGCTGTTGCCTTTGCAAGCCGATCACTATAGGGCATCCCGAATCCCTAGCTTCATCCTCTCATGACATAATACCCCTTCAGCTGAGGTCCATACCATTAACTTTAATTATATTGCCTTTAGCACTGAATATAACCTGTATATCTGTAATAAGAGCAAACAAGGTTCTTAACAATAAATGTGGATTACAGACATTTATTTCATGAGGTAAGAGACAGGGAAAGCTGGTAACCTTGTCTCATGGTGGTGTCAAATGTTAGGTACTCCTCAAGAAGAGCATTCTCTGGTCTTGTTGATGCAGAAGTCTCCCCTTTCAACTGCCATGGCTTCTCAGCAAGATTCTCCTCTTCTAGCCGAGCTATCCTCTTTCTCAGCCGTTCCTCCTCCTTCTCAAACTCCGACTTCTCTCCCGATGTAACAGATGGGGGATCAAAAAAGTCTCTGTACATAGTGTCTCCCTTTTCCTCATACTCCTCTTCATCTTCTACATCTTGGTCTGAATCTCCTCCTTGGAATAAATCTATCATTTCTTCTCCTTTTCTTCCTTCCCCTGTCTCCTTTTGATCTTCTGAATCCAAGAATTGTTCCATTTCCCGTAACTGGAAAAACTGGTCATCCACTTCAGTTCGATCAAACTTCACAGGTACATAAGGCAGAGTTTCCTCATCACTTGCACTCCCTGCTTCTGACTGATCACTAGGAAAATCAGGGTATTCAGATTCTGAATCAGGATGTAACCTGTCCTCAGCTTCCTCTTTCTGCTCCTGCTCTTCTTCTTGGAAAAGCATCTCCTCTCCCTTTTCTTCTTCCACACCAGACTGCTGCAGAGTCTTGAATCTTTTCCGCACATCCCTCAGCACTTCATGGTTCTTCAGTTCCAATTCCTCCCAGATCTGGTCCAGTTCAAAGCCATCCACAACCATTTGACGGAGGGATGTCGATTTTGCTTTCACTTTGCATGTTGCCTGGCATGTGTCATACAATGTCTTAAGGGTCCTATACCAATTTTTACATCTTTCATCTTCTGGCCTAAGAAATCATCGAAGAACTTCATGGATAAACTTCACAGAAACAAATGACGATAATAATGATGAGAATATGGCACTCACAGAAGGAGGAGATCAGAATTCTTGACCAGGGGTTCAAGGTGATCCAAGGTAGTGTCCAGTTCCTTCAGGGCTGCCATTTCTTTCAGAAAATATGAGGGTATTAAGTTTGTTGAAAACAAATAAGAAAAGATCCAGATGTCATGATATGTAATTCATTTAAATGGGAAATATGGAGAGAACTTCTCCAGGCTGAGAAAATATAGCCTTCCCTACTTGAACTGCCCAAGGGCCCTAATGCAACCAATGGGCTAACATAAAAAAAGCAGAAGTAAATTGGACAGAGTGAGTGAGTGAGAACAGAAAAATTCATTCCAGAGTGACAATTTCTTGAGGTTCCCCCTCATCAGGAGGGAGCCAAGGCTTGTCTCCAGTAGAGGTTGTGGCACGAAGAGATGATGAAGAGCACAACATCTGAATGACACCTTGAGTCTGTAACAACTCTTTTGTGAAATTCAGCAGTCGAGTGAGACACCTTTCGAGGTGCTTCAGTCCCTCCTCATACTCAGAGAGCTGGCAGTGAGGCCCATACACATCTGGATGGATAAGAGAGCATCTCTTGAATATCAATGCAAGTGAAATTCAGCAGAGATAATAAGAATGAGCTCTACCTAGGACCACATTGGCAACATCCACAAGATGGTGAGTGAAGCGGGGATCTCCCATATAAATACAAATGAAGACAAAGAGCCGGTGCAATGATGTACCACTGTGGCCAGCAACAGCTGCACGTAACCCATCACGCCTGCAAGAAAGAACTTTCATGGGAAACGCTTCAAAGAAAACACTTGTCTTAGAGAGCACATCTATAAAGGTTTAGTATGGCAATGAAACAAAATAGGTGATTTCTCCTCAAGTCTTAAAACATTCTAGGTAGCAAAAGTGAGGGAAAGAGGATTCAATTTGCCATCTTCCTCTACTCTCAGCAGCTGATTGTACCTTATGATTTCAATTTTTCAGGAGCCAAAGAAGCACAATTCTTTGAAAAGATGCCTATCATCATGCAGTTTGAATCCCTTAAACTCTTTGTCACTCTCTTGAAAAAGGCCCACAGAAATATGCAACCTGAAAAAGTTTATAACTCTATAGTTACAGAATACAGGTAAATCACTCACCTGAGGAGCTCTACAAATACTGCAACAACTTCCTCTGGGTTCTGATGAATTTTCTTCAGGGTTGGTCTAAATAAGACTTTTTCAAGAGCCTGAGAGAAGTCAAACTTGCGTAGGCACTTCTCATATGCCGGCTCCTTCCTCGTGATTTTTTGTGGGATAACAAGAGCATCTGGTGGAGGGACTGGATCTTTGTGCTTCAGGGTTTTCCCTTCCTTCTCACTTAGTGCTGGTCCCTTCTGCTGATGATGTTGGATGGAAATGAAGCCATCCACACTACCGCTCACAATAGTATCATCTGTTGGCTGAAAACAACCAGGTAATACTCCTCAAAATCATGTGAAAGACACATGCATGATGAAAAAGTCCTGCATACACTGTAAAAAATTATTTCTGTCCAATACTGCAGCATTAGTCTATTCCCCAGTTCCACATTGTTACCATAAGATGATGTGAACAACAATCACCATTACAATCTTGCTTCCCCAATAATAGGAATGAAGTTGGTAGATGAACCTGATGATCACAATGATCTCAAACAAATGCTGGAGAGGAATTATAGTAATGGTGCAATCCAAAACTGTAAGACCAAACACAATTTCTTCCACCCAAGACTGCCTGGACGGCCCAGATGAGTATGATTGTAAGATAAAAACATAGATAGATGTAACTGATTGTCATAGTAATAAAGATTCAATAATAATGGTGTCTACATAGCATCATCCCTACATCAGAGAAATGGCTGGTACTATGCCTCAAGTTTTTATTGTCTATTTCCCATAGTTTCACCATGCAATTGGTAAGCTCACTTACTTCCTATGAATTGACATTATGTGACAGCTGCATTCAGGATAACAGGTTTGACTAAAAAGGGAGACTCAGATCCCATGATGTCTGAACCAAGTACTGAACACACAGTAAAAACACATTCATGTCCTAAGTCATTGGCACTTGGTTCACAACCCTGAGAGCTCAATAATGAAGCAGTGACTTACTGAGACAGCAAAGCTGAGCACGGGAGATGGAAAGGTGAAGTCATGGACAACTGCGAAGTTTGTAAGATCGTAGAGCTTCACATGTCGATCCAGTGAACCCGAACAGAGTCGTCCATGCAAAGGTGCATATGACAGGCAGGTTACTGTTTTATGGTGTTGAACCAGGGTAGCCAGGCACTTCTGAGCTGACAGGTCCCAGACCTTGACCACTGGACCACCTAGTTCACAAGGAAAACAGACTTTGGAATAGGCCTATTACTGTTAACACTTTTGGTCTGGAGGATGTGACTGAGGTTTTTGTGGCCCACAAAATAATTCACAACTTCTAAGCACAAAATGATAGAAACTTGCTCTTTATTGGAAATTGAAGAAAAGTTCTCTATTTCGCTGAGGAAAATTATTTCAAATTTAGAAAATTTTCAAATAATGTACTATTACATCCACCATCATCCAAGAGTAGTTAAAACTGGATGTCACCTATCTCCTTTGGATTGAAAGTATTGGAGTGTTTTTATATCAAACCTGCAGATGCAAGAAGAGCTCCAGAAGGAAGGAAGAGAACAGCTTCCACAGGGAAGCCATGCTCAAATGTGGTCAAGGGAGATGCTTCTTGAGACCTGACATCGTAGAGATGAACATTATGATCATAGGAACCTGAAGAGATCAAGTGGGGTGACACTGGGCTTGTGCCTCCAGCCCTAACATAATCCTGCCAGGAGCAAAAAATAAATAAATTCCTTTTTTCATGCAGCGCTGGGTCTACAAATGTGTACATGAACTTACAGTATGGGAAGAAGTACTCCAAACTTCCTTTTCAGAGGGTATATCCCAAAGTTTTACACTTTTATCATCTGAGAAACTTGCAATTTGAACTGAATCACAGGCAAACTTGCATCTATGCACTGGGCTGCAGAGGAATGACACAATGAATGACAATAGTAGTCTGAAATAGAGTGATACACAGTAACTCAAAGATATTCCAAATATAAAAAAATTCCAAGGTACCTTTGATGACCCTTGAAGATCCTTAGTAGTGACTTCTTGGGTACATCAAATAACCTGACAAAACCCTCCTCACTCCCAGCACAGAGGAGTCTTCCATCAGCTCGAAATGAGCCCCCATATGCCGTTTCCTTGAAGCGACTAAGATTCTTGTGAACTCTGTGTGTAACAGGGTGATAAACATTGACCTGGAAAAAGAATGAATTGCATTTTTTAAAGTTGAATATAGTCATGTTGACAATAAGCAACTCCTTCATCCTTCAAGGAAAATTCCACTTTCATAATGAGTGAGGCAAATTTGACAGATAAGGTCAACAGACTAAATCATGGTCTGTGCAACCATGCCAACCAAAGAAAGCTTGCTATAAAGGAATTTTGGCTGAATAGTGGAGAACCCAGCACCCATTTGTGTTCCTTCTATCTGAGTTTCTAGGCCATCCAATTGGCATTGGATCCAACTACATAATAGGATTACCCATGGAGTGAGCATGGATTGTTATTTCAGGATTAAGAGAACATGAGGATGGCATCATGCTGAAAAACAAGCTTGAAAGGTGACTGCAAAGAACTCCATTATTTGTTCTGCACATTGTGAAGAGTCTTCTGAATGTAATCCAATGAAAGAAATACTAAAGAGAAAGATAAGGACTCTCCTACAATATTCATACTCATACATCTACCAACTATCTTTGTGGAGTCAAAGAGATAGGTGTTAGCAATAAGGGACCCTTATGCTCTTCACTCTTCATTTTTCTATGCTTGGAATTAATATAGGTTGAGAGTTAAATGCAGTAATCAGAATAAAAATAAAAGACAACACAATTACTGAAAATATGCAGATGGATGATATTTCAACACTTGGATATATTGCTGAGAAAAAGTGAAATTAAATATTGGGATAAAAAAAATATATTTCTCAAGTAAGGAGCAACATGAAAGCTGGCATGTGATATAATTCAAAACAGACCGAGATAGTCAGTGGTAGTCATTATTCATTACAGAGGAAAAAGGGGGAACAAGGAAGCACCTCAGCACAATGGTTTAATTGTTCAACCATACTCCACTTCACTTATGGAAAGACTTGGAAAGACTCAAGACACAATCCAAATATAAAAAATTACTTCATCTTATCCCCTGAACTTCTTTTCCAGCCTCAGTGGGAGATATAGTATCCCTTTATGGGTTGTCTGCACAACTGAGACATACTCTTATTACCACAGGTCATAGTAGGTGAATGTTACTACAGACTACAGACACCATAACAAGTGGGTTTGTCACTGAATTTCATTGAGATTGTGTTCATAATAAACCAGTGCAAATTTGAGGATCATGGACTGGTGAAACTTAATTTAAATATAACAGAAGGTGGCAGATGTCAAATCACCATAACCTTGTGGGTAAATTATTCTAGGTATTTCTTATTCATCTGGGCACCATGTATTCATATAAAATCCATCACACAAATAAAAAATGAATTCAAAATGTAAAAAAAGTATCACCCATTTGGAGAAACCATTGCAATGCACTAATGACATGGCATGTCAGTTCCACTAGTGGAGCTCTACTTCTGTCATTGAAATGCCATATACCACAAGAAATAAATCTTATTAGAAGTGATTACACTTACTTATGAGTAGTGTATTTTTAAAATTAAGGAAACTTTCCCCTCCTGAGATCTTTGCGCCAATATAAACCAAGGATAATGGAATTATTATATTCTGGTGTGGTTCTTAAAAAACCAGACCAGAAGTTTTCCTTCTCTTCCATGCAAGAGAAGAAAAAATCTCACCTTGGCAGAACATGTCACAGCAAAATAATGAGGGAACACGGGACAAAAGTCGATGTAATCAATAGCACCAAACTCCTTGATGGTCACAGGGAACTAAGAAATAAGAATAAGAGCACAAATAAATCCAACATGAAAATGGAAACTTTTCATTTCTAAAATATTGAATTTAATTACTTATTCATTAAATTTCTACAACTGCTCCTAAGTTATGTATTAAGTTAAGTAAAACATTCCACACAAAGCCAATCAAAAGGCCTTATCACAAGAGATACATAAAGTAACCATTCAAGCGCAGGCCTAAGCAAATATACGTCGGGAAATCGGACAGAAGGCTTAGCCTTAACCTCAATGAATGCTTAGCGCTATTCTGGGTCTGAGAAAGAGGACTCACTTCGAAAGAGTTCCAATATTGGCTTTCTTCAGTTCGACGTGGTTCACCTCGTGCACGGAGACCACGGGGATCCAGCCGCTTGAAGGCAGCCATCTTTTCGCAGTCTCACTGGATGCCCTTAGAGAATCCCAACTGTCTGTCCAGACTGTCTTCACTTTGCTTCGTCCAAACAGCAATTTCATTTGGTTGGAAGCCAGAAATTGTTCCTGGTATCTATAAAGCTGGAAACTCTGAGTTGTCCTTTCTCATCAGAGACAGAAATTCAAAACTTCATGGTAGAATCTTTTCAACGAGCTGTTCGAGATTCGGCATTCTGAATGATGGCGCTCCACAGCTAAAACACGTGACGATTCTGCTGTTACGTTGTGATCGCAACTCATCGTTTTAAATCCTCAGTATTTATTTTAGCAGAGATAGGTAAATGTAAGTGCATGTAAAACTATATTAGGACCACTATTCTTGAAATAGGAAGTATTTTTTGTTTAAATCAAAATAGTTACTTTGTGGGGCTGTTTCTATTTAACCAGGTAACTGCCAGAACTCGGATGGTCACATTTTTTACTCTCTCTTTTACTATGATAAGGCCAATGAGATTGACCTTCTCATTTGTCGTAATCTTATTGAGATTCTGAAACCAGAAACTTAGTTTCTGGTTTAAGGTACATTGTGCATTATATTTATGAGGTCTTAAATTTTTTATACGTGGCAAATATACTAGGCAAAGCAAAATGAAAGTGATACATTGTTTCCTTGCCTTATGGGGCCTGGTGGATCACTTTAATTTCACTCTACCTTGTATATACAGGGCCGCCCAGAGGGGGGGGGAGGGGGGCAATTGGGGCAATCTGCCCCAGGCCCCACATATCAAGGGGTCCCAAGTGGGGCCCCCAAGAAGGTCTCCGGTTTAGTTTTGCCCTGGGCCCCTGGAAACTTCTGTGCGGTCCTGTGTATATATTTGCAAGCAGTTAATTGTGGAGAGCTTTATTCAATTTTTGTCTGGAAAACATTACTACTGTGCTCATTCACTGTTGTTAGCACTCATTCCTTGTTTTCTTGCTTCAAGTGTGCAGCAGTGAATCCATTGACTTGAATCATGGCCAGAAGTTCTCACAGTAAGCATCTGAAACGATTGCATGCCATAAAGAGAGTCAGATATGCCAAGAAGGAGCTGGAACGGCTGAAAAGTGTGCTTGAAAAGGCAAAACAAGATGAGAAGGAGATGGAAGCCCTCTCCAAAAGTAGGCTTACATCATGAATGGTTCCAGTTTCAGAAGAAAAATACATTAAGTTACATATGAAATAATATTTTCCCTGCTTCAGTTGCAGATCTTGTGACTAAGAAAGGAGAAAAAGAAGATTCAACAATGGAAGTGGAAGCTAAGAAAAATGTGAAAGGACCACATAACTATCCTTGGAAGAATCCAAAGAAGTTGAAGAAAATGGAGAAGATCAGGAGGAAAGAGAAGCTGAGAGCAAACAAGAAGAAGAAGTCTGGCCAATGGCTTCCATAGCTGTTGTTTCCCTCCCTGTTTGTATGATATTCAATAAAAGTTCTAATGCACTGGTTCCCCACATCCCCTTTCAGTGATGGCAGTAACACATTGTGAAGACAAAAGTTTAATGTCATTGACTACAAATTTCTGCCACTGCCCTTGAACTTTGCATCGACATTACATTTTGTAAATATATCCTTATTTACATCTATGTAAAACCAAATATTGCAGACTGATTGGAAGTTCCGCTTAAGGTGTAATGTGTTGGCTAAAGCCATGATTGAAGCTGAGTGCATTGCTTGTGCTCTTTGTTACTAGATGGGCGAGAATGGACTTCAGGGGCCTCAAACTGGAATTGGAGCTCTCAATCAGTAACAAATACCATGGATTTCTAAATAGTGAATGTTGTTTCTCTCTGCAATGGTTGCTGATGCATGGAGTCTTTAGAGCATACAATAGCAGTTAATGAACATAGGGGGAAACACAGAGAAGGTAATTTTACTATTCACAAACTTATATATCAGTACATCTTGAGACTCAATACTTGGCACGAAAGGGAAGAACAAATATGTATCCGATGAGGATAGAGGTTGCTTCTTGAGGTTGAATTCCTCCCACCACCAACATTAAATCGTGACCCAACCTTGAAGACTAATATCTTGAAATTTGATACACAGATCTGCCACAGATTTGTTTTCTGTTTGGTTCCCTGATCTAATGATAAACCAAAAAATATCTTAGAATAGAAAAACAGAAAGATACCATAATTGTTTTGTTTAGTCTGAGAGCAGAGTTAAACAAAATGAGTTTATTTAAAATCATAGGCTTGTAACCCTTCACTTCCAGGGTGTACTCCTGTACATCATCCTGCTGCATTAGCTTACTTAAACGAAATGGAAATATATGAAATGCTGGAGCTGTTGATGCAAAGCAGACAGAATGGAAATGATATTTCTTGCATTGTGGCCTACTTAATGGGCCTGAACCCCCAAGTAATGCCACTGCAACTGGCCCCCAGCCCAGCAATTGCTTATGCATTCTCATCTCATCAAGCCCCACCCTCAGCCCTTCTTTTGGCCAGTCCCTTCTCATTTCAGCTGCAGGCTAGGTTGCACATAATGCCAATGCTGGTCCTGCACAACTTCCTTCGCTTGTCACTCAATTGCTATAATACTAAGTTCCAAAAATTCTTTGTATTCTAATGAGTTTGTTTTACCCACAAACTCATGACAAATGGCTGTATGCAAAGCAGTTCATGTTTCATAACAAACCATTAGAACAACACAGAAAAACCTTCAAGTGCTCCATATCAGTAAAATTTAAGTGAATCTGTAATAGAAAATTATGGTATCATAACTGCTAATGATTTTTATTTGTTACACAGCTCTGTTGTATATTCATTGAGGGTCTATCTCTTCCTGGATACCCGGTCTGAGAATTTGAGCAGGAAAGTTAATCAACCAAATTGGAGGGCACCAAGCTTTATGTAATCAAAAGAGATATCTACAGTACACTCAAATCAATGCAAAACATAATTCACAGGGATACCTGTAAAAGAGGAAGACAATGCATGAAATTGATTTTTTTCATCAATCTGCATTCATTCCTTCTTAACAAACAACATGAATTCAGTTTCACTCCTTCCAAGGATAATGCTGACTCAAATGGAGGAGTATCCAGAGCACTTGGAAACTTTCACATTCAAATAGGCACACCAAAATCAACTATTGGGGTCCAAAGATTTGATGTAGATGGGTGTTGCACGCCGTTTTCGACGAGCATCTACCTTTCCATGGAATCCTGGCTTTGCCATTGTCAATGGGGGTAGGTTCACTGGTCGTGGATATGGGTTGTTATAATGGACAGCTAAAACAAAGAAAGAAAGAGTTATAGAAATACTCTCAATTTGAATTCCTTACTGAATACCTTCATTTCATGCCTTTCATCAAGAAGTTTCAAGGAGAGATGACTATGATGTGTAAATACTGGGCAGCACTTAAAAAATGCACAGAGATTTTTCCATTCATATCTCAATTTCCAGATGAGAAAGAGGCCTATAAATCATACTGCACATACATCTATCTTTCCTATAGGGCCCCATGAAAGCTATGAATTTCTAGCTACCAGAGTACACCCATAGTAGCTGTTCAACAAAGGCACCCCAAGGTTTTCTATAGTATGCCTCACCTAATAAAAAAAAAAGTGAAATGAGTTCTCGTTTGGCATTGCCTACAGCACATCATCTCACTTCCCATTACGTGATGAACTTGCAGATTATCTCCACAATGATCTCACTCCAGGCCTGTTGAATGATAGCTCTCTGTTCAGCAAGGATGTGATCCATCTTGGTTCACTAGACTCATCAGCTTGATTTTTAGTGTCAAGAAAGAGGTTAGCTTGAAGTCATACTGTGTTTATGCAGTGGCCCTTCCAAACTGTGCATGATACAAAATTTTTCAAAATGTCTTAGCTGAACCACCTCTGTGGACCTACTCTGGTAGTTAGACATTCATAGCTTCATGGAGCTGAGAGATTAGATAGATAAGTACTAGGTGTAATTTTTATGCCTATGCTTCATCTGGAAATTTGGAAATAAATGCAAAAATCTCAGCATGTTTTTCACCTGGAATCACCTAGAAGTACCAGTAGTATAAACAGAGTTAGCATGAAGTTTTTTGATGTGCTCAACTAGAATCCTACTAAACATACTAAGCAATGTTCTTTTAGTCCTGTATACCAGTACCAGCTCTCCGTAAAATCATTGGATTAACTTTATGACGAAAATGCACTCAGTTGTAAATTTGAAAAAAGGTATAAATTATATTCCTGAATGCCATGACCTCATCTAAGGAAGCAATTACTACTATTGATGAGGATCTGTCCTGATCCTAAATAATCCCACCCATGCAAAGTTTCTAGAAAAACCTATTGTTAGAAAGGAAGAAAGAGGTTTATCTAGCTTCAGAGGAAGGTAGGCTAGAAACATAGCTGTTAAGCTGTATTAATAGCCTGGGAAATTTTTAATACAGTTTAGTGCAACAAAAAGTGAGAAATGCAATGATTCTGAATGGCCACACATGAGGTATGGTGCATTTGAAAAATATGTTCATCAGATCAAGTTGGTAATTAGCAGAATGCCTTTCTTATGCATTCGAAGAAATAGTAGAGCTTCTAAATTATAGTGAAGTGAAAGGAAAAGGAAGCTGAACAGAGAAGGGAGTTGATGAGTGCATACCTAGGCACAATCTTCACAAGCCTTGGAGAATTCTCAAAACGAGTACAAACTTCAATAAGGACAGTGTAATTGAATGTTAAAATTATTCATCTTACAATATTGAACAATATCATGAAGTCATAGGGTCTAGAGGTTCATCATTTGAGTTTGACCACTTCCTAGATATCTACCACCTGCGCATGGGAGTAGGAGTCAATGAAAAAAACTGGCAAACTCAACTAGAAATGTGTATGCAGTTAATTCTTTGTAAAGCGTCAATATAGAATTTCACCTATTTCTAATCTGGCTTCCGCCTCTTGGATGCGCTGCGTAACTTCTGAGGCATCTTGGATGGATTTGTTCTGGCGAAACAACACCTGCGCCTCTCGGATTATGAAGTCACGCTCCTCTCGTGTGTCTGCTGGATTAGTGGCCTTCCACTGACGACCAGTTCGAAGGATCGTCCTATACAGGGTCAGCACTTTTCCTCGCAAGTTGTTTCCTGCCATCGATGACATGATTACTCCATTGCCGCGAAAGGCTCAGCCTGTGCAAAACCTATATACGTCTGGAACCAATAAACAATAAACTTTAAAGGCAGAGAATCCATCACCGGCAAAGTAGATGAGAGATGTAATTCCTCCCTTACAAGAATAAACGTGAGTGCCGCATTGCCTACTCACGTCCACCACAAGAAAAGCACGTGGTGACCACTACGCTCTAGCGCTAAGACATAGATGCCAGCAATACAACTTCACAACGCGACTTGAACAAGAGTAAAAAAAAGTATGGCAGATAAAGACTTCTTCAATGTATTTTAAAATAATTTCTAAGAGATAAACTGTAAAAATTTTTTAAGTAGCCGATTGATATGATTCTTGGAATTCTGTTGGAAGTACTGTACGATCGTAACTTAGCAGCTTGACAACTTAGGCTATACAAACGTGGCGCCTCGCATAAGCTCTTCTCCAATGCGAGAGAACCTGCTGCTGCCAGTTTAATATCGATTCGTGACATAAGGTACTTTCCTTGAAGATGGAGAACCACTTCCCAGTCAAGAAAAATGCGATGCTGGCCAAGGGCACTTTTGCTTCGAAAGTCGCTTTCGTTACGGGCGGGGGAACGGGACTTGGGAAAGGAATGGCAGGAATTCTCGCCTCCCTTGGTGCCTCCGTTGTCATCGCCAGCAGGTTGTCTTAAGATTGAGATGTGCACTGTATACGTCCTACAATGACGTTCGACCGAAAGAATAGGAGTTTTTAAGTTTCTTCTCGTTCCATAGGAAACTGAAGGTCTTGGAAGCAGCGGCATCAGAAATCAGAAGTGCAACTGGAGGGGAGGTATTTCCTGTCCAAATGGATGTGAGAGACCCCAGCTCTGTGGAGAATGCCTTCAACGAAGCAGAGCGCAGGTTCTCATTGCCCACAATAATCATCAATAATGCAGCTGGGAACTTTATTTCCCCATCAGAACGCATATCTTCAAATGCATGGCGAACCATTATTGACATAGTTCTCAACGGGACAGCTCATGTAACCCTAGAGGCTGGAAAAAGACTCATCAAGCAAAATAAAGGTTCAGTTCAGAGCATCCCATCCGCTATGAAAGTCTATCTCTGATATGTAGCTGTCAAGAATGCACATGTAATCATAGGAGGGGTCTTTCTGGCTATCACAACACCATATGCACAGCTGGGCTCTGGCTACGTAACCCCAAGTGCTTCAGCCAAGGCGGGTGTAGAAGCACTGACCAAGTTTGTTTTCCTCTGCAGTTCAGTTGCTGAATAAACTGAGTCCCTTTTGTGATAAAAGGCTTTTTGACAAGGTCTCTTGCTGCTGAATGGGGCAAGTATGGAATGAGACTGAACTGCATTGCCCCAGGCCCAATATATACTGAAGGGGCCTTCAGTCGCCTTGACCCCAGTGGCAGGTAAGAATTTATGGGAAAAAAAGCAGTGTGATCATACTGTGCTTTGCATGATTTTTGAGCTTTCTCTTTTTATCAGTTTCAAAGACCATGCACTGGATCGAATCCCAGCTGGTCGATTTGGTGAGATTGAGGAACTGGCCAATTTGGCTGCCTATCTTGTGTCCGATTATTCTTCCTGGATTTCAGGAGAAGTGAGTTCTGATGCAAAGTCAGTTCTGGATTTAAAACAGTTCTATGGATTTTATTCATAGAATGGCATTGCACATTTCAGGTTATTCGATTTGATGGTGGGGAATTGCCAATGATGGCTGGAGAATTTAACATGCTGAAGAACATTGACTCAGAGCATTGGGATGCTATTGAGAAGATGATTCGTCAGAGCAATGCAAAGTCCAAGCTCTGAACCTGTGACCCCCATTTGCATATCAGCTCATTTCTTCATTGATACTTCTACAATTTTCTACTTTACTTAATTTGTATTAGGATGCAGTTGTTGATGATGCTATATTGGGATTCATTGCTGTTACTCAAGTGGGTCACCATCTTTGATGCTTCAATAAATTTTATTTTGGGGATTCAGTCTCACAAGGTTCGAGTCTGAGTGACCTATTGTTGAGGGGATATCATTCCTCACCCACCTAGTGGATTCATTAGCACTGGGATCTGGGGAGACCATTACCTTTCAGTATATACATATTTCTACCTAGAAAAAGAAAATGAGGACTGTTGATGGTCATTTCTAGCTGGGAAACCTGGAGGAGTAAATGGCCTAGAGTAAGGAAAGGCTAAGGCCTGGTGATGTTTTTGGTACAATGGACACATTTTGAGAGTACTTCCTGAAGGAAAGTATGGTCAAGCTCAAGCATGACTAATATTGAGAAAATATTGGAAGACATAAATCGAGGTGAGTTCACTTCGCATGGCAATAAATTTAAATCCCCACACACTGGAATTCTGTTTTACTCCATCTTTTCTGAACAGATCCTCGAGTCATAGTTGCAGCTCATCGGACTTGGGATCCAGATCTTGAGAAGAAGACACTGAAAAGTATGATTTTTCTTATGAATCCTTAAATTAATATGAACCTGAAACCTCACCTATCATACCTCACTCCTCTTTGTTGTAGCAAACGAGAAGATATGTGAGAATCTTCATATGATTGCCAATGATCCATCACTAGCATTCTATCGGCTCCAAGAACATGTTGGGAAGTCCCTGCCTCCCATGATCGAGAAGCGCAAACAGGTCTATCATATACAGTCAGACCTCCAAGGGGCTACTTTTGATGCTGATTATGCTGTTGGGTCAGCTAATAGTTCATTTTGGGATTTGCAATTTATTTTTTCAACCCAAGTATATATATATATATATATTTTAATGTGGCTTTCAGGAGTGTGAGGGGAATGCTTGGTGCATCTTCCAGCTTCTCCAACATCCAGGAGCTGCTACGAAATGCTATTTTTTTCCACCAACAGGATCGCTATGTGAGGACACGAAGGTGCTCAGAATGAAGTTCCTATGCATGCCCTTTTGCTATCATTTTAATAGAATAAAGAAGTGAACAAATGAAAACATAATTCTTGCTGACTTCAATCTTTGCATGGAGTTGCTACTTCTGCATGCAAAAGGCACCATTGACAAGGAAATTAAGATTCCTAAAATGCTTTATTTTCCAAGCAGGAGACAGCAACAGCAACAACAGCCTAGGCCACGTTCTCTATCCCAAGAAAGGCCTTCACAGGCAAGTGGTCGGACTGGGATCTACAACCGTCTCTCTCAACTCTCATTGGAGCTGGATCTCCCCGATTTTGCGAGTGACTTCAGACATCGTGCATCTCAGGCTCTTGCACAGGCTAGCAACATCACCCATCCTCAGTCTCAACATGACTCCCATTGATCTCAATTTGTGTAATCTCAAATGTGAAGTGAAAATCCTATTGTAGTTGATATAACTGTTTTCCAGTATAAATTTTGATTATTTATGACAGTCAATAAATCCCCCTCTTCAGTTTCTTGCAGTGGCCAATGGTTTTACCACTCTCTAAATTGAAAGTTCACAGGAAAACACTCAAATTCACAATAGCATTTATTTTTTTTTAGAGGAACTCGTACCTAGCTTAGTCAGGAGAGTACAGGCAGGGGAACAAAATTGGTTGGGAAATACTTCAACAGCTGAAGAGATGAGATACTGGCAGTTTACTTTCTATACCACATCTGAAAAGTCTTCATACGCTTGATCTTCTTCTGCAACTGGAGAAGCCCGTATAATAATGCCTCTGCCGTGGGGGGACAGCCTGAAAGACATTTCCCAGTGAATAAGTCCTGCTTAGTCACCAACCACAGTGTTTTTCATCTGCATGAATAACTGACATCAAACTGGTAACATTTCAAGGAAAAGTTATGTGCACCTCAACTCAGAAAGCCACATTCCATAGTTTGAATGGATTTTCCTAGGTAAAGCTAAACTATATTCAATCACATTTAAGGATACCAACTCCATATTTGGCATATTTCACACTTAAATCCAATGTATATTGTAATCTTTTGCCATAATAAAATTTCATATATCATCAAAACAGGATCATGATGACTATTATAATCTCATCTTGTTGGTTAAGTCATTATAGTACTATTCATAAAGACAATTACCTTAATTTTTTAAATAAAAATTGGGCAAGAATTTCAATTATTTTAATTGAGTTTTTCATCACTGTTTTCAAGAACTGAGTTATCAATGCATAGAATGAGATGATGCATCCTGAATTATTGTTGTGCCACAGTCCAGACGTATATATCACTTCAATATCATCAAATATGTAAATGCAGAATGAGGATTTCATCATTGTGCTAAGGGTTTCTATGCATTCAGTAAGGATTTACAGAGATGTGAAGCAAATGATTCAACCTGTAAACAGACCTGCACAAAAAAATTTGAAACGCCTCACCTGGGACATAGATATCCACAGGAACGATACGATCACAGCCACGCACCACTGAATACGCATAGTGGTAGTAACCTCCACCATTTGCACAACTGCCCATTGACACCACCCATTTTGGCTCTGGCATCTGCAAGGTAGTAAGTTCTTCAGTATTCTCCAAGATGAAAGTATTGCAGTTATCTGAACAAGGAACAGTTGCACTGACCTGGTCATATACTTTCCTGAAAGCAGGAGCCATTTTGTTGGTGAGGGTCCCTGCAACGATGATACAGTCTGCCTGGCGAGGAGATGCTCGAAACACTATGCCAAATCTGTCCATGTCATATCGGGGAGCAGCGATATGCATCATCTCCACGGCACAGCATGCAAGTCCAAATGTAAGGGGCCATATAGATCCCTGCAATCACAAAACACCATTCACATGATCCACTGTGCTATGACTGAAGGTTGCAGGTAAATTTGAAAACTTTTCTCTTTCAGGTATAGTTTATGGCATAGAAATGTATCCCTATAAAAGAGTTACTGGTGCTTGATCCTTTTCTCACCTATACAATATATGCCTTGCAATACCATGCATGATTGACTAAGGAGAACCTCTCTATACTAGAATTTCTATATAGCTAGGCACAACAATGCTCTCACCTTCCTCCCCCAATTGAAAAGGTCATCAAGCCGAGCCACTGCATATTCTGCCATGCCACTTGTTTTCTGAAAAGGGCTATATGGCTTGTGCTTCGTGACACCTGCAAAGCCAATGGGAATGGCAAAGAATCATTACTTATTCTTGTTAAGCATTGTTTCCACATTTCACTTGATATAGGCACTCACTCTGGTTTTGAGCAACTTCTGCAGAGGTGCTTTTCTCTCTGATGTGGACAGCAGTACCATGTTCTGCAATTGGGTCCATGGGAAATTTCCTTTTTTCAGCATGAAGCTTATCAGAAACCCCATGTAATCTTTCCTCCGGGTGACCAAACAAGACAGGAGCCAACACCCGGCATGATGAAACCAGCTGCTGTCCAAAAGCTCTCCCACCAATCACTTGCAAAGCCATCTCACAGTGAGGCCTGCAGAAGCCAACACCTGCTAATTACTTGCTAATCAGATCAAGCTTGAGGAACCCCTTGGTTAACCTAAAACAGTAAAAAATATCAATGAGTTCATAACTGGCACTTCCTATTCCCATCTGCTCATGCTTTCATCTAGCAAAAAATTGATACACACCATACAGTAATATCTGATTGAATTTATCTCAGATATGCACTCAGATATTTTCCATGATCCTTTCAGTAGTATTTCTAGATTTTGTTCATCCCATAATGATGAACAAACCCTAGAAATTACTGTAGGCTATAATGTGCTTAGATTTTCAGGATAAACCCCTTTTCCTTTCAGTATGAACTTCTTAAAATCCCAAGATTATATCGTTAATGTGTTCATCTTATGTAACTGAAACACTTGTGCCACTTTCAGATGTGTCTTTAATATGAATGCAAAGATGTCCTCTCATTCAAAATATGCTTAATCCTATGCTGGCGCATGTCACAAGCCTGCGCGAGATTTATAACGGAGTAGGAACTTCACACACCAGAAGCTCATCTTGGGTACGTTTGCAATTAACCACTAATACCTGCTTGAATAAAACGGTACGTTTCCTAATTTGAAATATGCCTAACGTTTATGTTTCGGCACGAGCGTCACGATCCGTGAAATCGAACATAAGACAACAATGTAAAAGTGAAGACGATTTATACAAATAGATCTGTCTTCCACTGCAACGTCAGTTGTTCTATTGCAAGTAGCCTTGAGTTTCCGTACTATCGGTCTCCTCCCCATGATTCTAGGGATACTTCAGTCTGCAGCCTGCGATTCAGAGTTTACATGCAGTACCCACATAAGCAATTTTTTTCAACGTAAGTGTTCATCAGGTCAACAAAGGCCAAGCAGTGAAGGAACCGTTAGCTAGAAAAATCACAACAGGAACCAAAAGAACCTCGACACAAACGGGGGCCTTCACGTAACACTAGAAGAATGGGAGCCGCCATCTTGGTCATAACATTCATTTTCATCGTCGTCTGCTCGCTCCTGCCCTTGGCGGTCAAATCTGCTCAATATATCGACTCAATCGTAAAAAGGTTAAGAAAATTTCAGCGAGCCTTGGATGATATATCATATATCATCCAAGAATCGACCAGAGAGATAGCGGTACGCACTATAGCTATAAATTAATAGTTGACCTGCGATTCAAATGCAGCTTTTGAGGACGCGAATACCACGGTCGCTGCTACGATGCCAACCTATCCGATAACTACTCCGTCGTGGCTCCTGATTGTGGAATGGGGTCGACTAGGGCATCATACTTTTCCAGGTTTACCGGCAGATCTCAAATCAAGCAGTAAAAACCGGAAAGGTCCCGATCAACATCGGAATAAGCTGCTTGGACATTTCCAATTTCGATCCCATTTTTGGCGCTTCGAGAGACGAATCCCAAGTCCTACATGTTCCAAACATTCATCTCTTCAGATTGCGATCGTAATGCATGGAATATATTCGCAAATGTTACCCTTTCAAACCCAGAAGTCGTGAACTCGATGCCAGTACGATTCGACAGGAACTTTCGAAAAAAAAACCACCGCAGCCGCATTTTCCATGCGGATGGTGGTGAGGGCCGTCCACGGCCGATTAAATATCCTCTCTGAACGGTCTCACTTGAGTTTTTGTTAAGTTTTATCATAAGGGTTACTATCATAATACATATTTTTATTATTATTAGGCTTTATTGGGTTTAGTAGGCATTTTAGACGAATCAATTTCCATAGGAGAAATGACCACGATTTTCCTGAGGAGTATTTCTCTTGTGTGGGCTCTGTTCCCAAGATTTCATCACTTTCCGAAGATGCTCCATTTAAATTATTTCTTCAAGCCATTAAAAAAAATGGCTACGAACGGGATTGAAGATCTCGAGGGTCCATCGGATTTCAACTTTATTTGAAGCATCTTCTGCGAACTTCTTCCGAGGCAGAACAAAAATTTTCCGCAGGAAATTCGGCACACAGCCGATAATCTCGGCGTTGTGCTAAAATTGCACTCGATTCTTCGGCTCTCGTATAATTTCCTATTTCATGAAGTAAATCTCACTTTGGTGCATTTTTGCAGTTTCAATCAGCTGCTCGAATCACCTGATTGAGATACTCTTCGCGATCAAATTTCCGCAAACTCTCTTGAACGCGCTCCAACTTAGTAAGTTCTGCTTCCACAGTTTCTCGGACGCTAAATGAAAAATAGAGAAGCTGCGAAACCAAATATTCGTTTCACGAAACCGATATTCCAACACGTCGAAAATGAATTTTTTTTTCCGTGTCAAGATCTCAGAGTTTTTTTAATAATTATTTTGATGAAGACACGAGAAACGAAACTAGTTCTTTTGCTCCCGTCCTTGATCATTGGGTATTGCTGCGAAAAACAACCGGAACCCAAAACCCGATGGAGAAGATCCAGGGACGATTACGAGCTGCATGGGAACCATAATTAGGACCGGTGTCGACGGCAAGCTTCATGCAATGCATTCGGAGACCGTCATCGTGAGCAGTCTCACGTCTTCCATTACGTTTTGTTTACTTTTAGAGTCAGGGGTCGAGAGTCCGTTTTACCTGTTTTGCGCGTCCCTGTTTCGAACTCGCGATTTTCAAGTACCAGGGAGGTGCTTGCCTTAAGTTCTAGGTAAATCCCGATCACCCGCTGGTAGATTGGGCGCTTTTGGGTGTTATGTCCTTGGCGGCCCACCTTTCCCCTAGTACCAGGGACACCGTGGCTAAGGTCGGGGGGGGGTCCATGAACTGTACATTTTCATACAAATCCATTTGATTCTGGCCTCAACAAAACCATCGACTGTACGATCGCTGCCAACTCTACGAGGTGTTATATCTGAGCTGGCGGCCGACGAGGCAGCATACACCGTGCTCGCTTCTCAAGTGAGGGTTTTAGTCACGAGGGATCCTGGGGGATGAGGAAAAGGTGGCGTCGACTCGCGATCGTGGCTTGGGGGCTACCCGTCAGTCAGTGCAGGACGTCGAGGGGATACGGGGACTCGGTCGGAGGCCAATAGAGGCCGATGGTCGTATATGTACTCAGCAAACAATTTGAAACGCATGACGTTGAATCAATGTTGAATGAACATTGAATAAACGCTCGGAGTGTTAATACAGCGTTGGTCCAACGTAGCTTTGTTTGCTGGGTAGCTATTGCTACTGATGTGCTCATCACGAAGTCGAGACAAATGGAAAAGCAAGATCCGCGTCCGGGAACGAAATCGGACACCTGCTTTAGGGAGATCCGGGAGGAAGGTGATAAAGAAGCGAACAGGGTCGTTCTTTCTTAATGGGTCCAGTTTTCTCACTAAATTCGGCAAGGACCTAGGGTGTCACTTCTCTTCCACGTGCGCACCTCACCAGTTGTATTGGGTTGGAAAGAAAGTCTCGCAACACTGCGCAAATTTTTCAAAATTTTATAACTTTATTGAAATGCAACTTCAGTCTACAATGTAATGACTGACATGTTCCCAACGCACGGGGTAACTGCTCGATGCCCTTTGCCCAGAGTTCTGGGCAAAGGGCATCGAGCAGTTACCCGTGCGTTGGGAACATGTCATAGACAAAAATGGTCATTACATTGTAGACTGAAGTTGCATTTCAATAAAGTTATAAAATTTTGAAAAATTTGCGCAGTGTTGCGAGACTTTCTTTCCAACCCAATACAACTGGTGAGGTGCGCACGTGGAAGAGAAGTGACACCCTAGGTCCTTGCCGAATTTAGTGAGAAAACTGGACCCATTAAGAAAGAACGACCCTGTTCGCTTCTTTATCACCTTCCTCCCGGATCTCCCTAAAGCAGGTGTCCGATTTCGTTCCCGGACGCGGATCTTGCTTTTCCATTTGTCTCGACTTCGTGATGAGCACATCAGTAGCAATAGCTACCCAGCAAACAAAGCTACGTTGGACCAACGCTGTATTAACACTCCGAGCGTTTATTCAATGTTCATTCAACATTGATTCAACNCGAGAACATTCCAGCATATACAAATGCAAAGCCCCGCTCCTCATTCCTTTGAAAATTTTTATAAATAGTTTTAGAAAGTGTTGCAAGACTTTCTTTCCAACCCAATACTTCATGTTTTTCACACATCTTTCCCAGTTACTCGTTCTCCTACTAACCCAATTAATTTAATTGCTCTTATTTCCGATGTTTTTACGCATAACATCTGGGCAGTGGCATGCCTAAGGGGGGTTTGGAGGTCATAACCCCCTCTAGGATACATTTACAGGTTTGATTTTCCAATTATTATTATTATTTGGCCATATATACAAGGTAGGTTACCAATTTTTCTTGTCAACGTTCCATTGGGATTTTCTGGACATGCTACAGCAACCAGGTACTTCCGTGCCTTCTCGGGACGATTTAGAACTACCACTTACGTCTCAGTTGTCTTGTATCCATCTTGTATTATAAACGGAAAACCAAACGAAAGCGAATTTTCGCACAAATACCTGTTACCTTGCATATACTCATTTAAGGCAATAGATGTTGAGGAAGGGCTGGCATGGAGCATTGCTACTTCACAAGTGGTCAACTACCCCATGTGACATACATCTAATACTAATAGATAGCGGGAAGAAATTGGCCTTCAGCAGATTCTAAAAACAGGAAACAATGCATATTGATAAGGCAAAAATGTAAATTTTGGGCAACCTCAACATAGCAGGGATAATGCCCACTGCCCATCTCCTTCCTTGAAAGGATTAGGAAGGTAGGTCAGGATACACAAGTAAAGCATGACACAGATTAAATTGCACCGATTTCAAAAGTCGATAAAAAAAATTAAGACAACAATTTTGGAAATTGAAACTGATATTTTCGGAAACTACAGAGTCTCAGAATTCAAGTACATAACATCTTAGTTTTTCATCTCTCCTGTTCTGATGAATCTGCGGACTTTTCCTTTGATCGACGCCATCATCTTCTGCACAGTCTTTCGATCAATCTTCTCGACGCTGCTTTGCCAGTGGTAGAGCATTTGTCTGTCGTTTTACTTTCGCGATGACCGAATGTGAAGTCGACGGATTTTCAGCAAAAAAGTGCAGAATTTTCTTTCTGCCTTCGAGTTCCATGGCAATTATTTCAGTAACTACTAGTGCTGTCACAAATCTTTTTATATTGACCAAAAGCTGAATGTTTAGGCTTTACAATGAGGGTAGTTTAAATAGAGATTGCTTACGTATAAGGTTAGACGGGAAATTTGAAATCGGTGCAATTTAATCTGTGTCATGCTTTAAGGATTATTGAAGGAGCTTTCAATATCAGATACTACACCCAGAACTCTTAGGAATTTTAAACTTCCTTTGGAATATAATTATTTGCACAGTTCCTTCGTAGGTCCCTTTATTGGAAGATCATATTTACAGAGGATGAGACACAAAAAACCAAAAAGGTGAATCACAACTTTTTCAAAACAAGTTCAACAGGTAATAGATAAGCAATTGATTTCAAAAGTGAGAATCATCACAGGGATTACTTCCAAAAATCACAATATCATCGTCAGATAGCAATCATCACACCTCCAGACAAGGTATAACCATCTGTAAGTAATACCATAATCACAGGGAAAACTTGTAATCATGTGTACTGAAAAATTGATAATCATATATTCAGGAGGCTCTCTATTCATTCAAAATGTACAATTCATTCTTGGGGAATTATGAAATAATCGTCTATTTACCTAAGAATAAATGTAAAAACCAATGAACCTATCAGGATAGAAGGAGAATCAAGGCAAAATAGAAGCCAGGAATCACTTGAAGGAAGCAAGATAAAATAGACAGATTGATAATGCATCACTGGTAGAAATGAGGAAACTGGCTGTGTGCATTGGAGGAAGCATGAGGAATGATGTCCTCCCAGAGTGATCCAAATTCAAGTGGAGAGACTGGCTGACTATGGGTGCTACGCAAGGCCTTAGCAGCACACCGATCCATCAGTTGGCAAAGCGTTTCTCCAACTTTGGGATCCAGTTGCTATGCATTCATATGCAACAATGAATGCAAGAATTTTCACAGATGACATACTTAATATACAGGGTGTCCCAGAAACCCTGCCCTAAGTTTTGTACATTATTATGTCTATTTTTTTCCTGATGGAAATAAGTTTTGTATGATTCGAAAGCCTAGACCTTTCTAAACAACTGCTGTTAAACTTGACAGTTTGTGATTACTGGTTGTGGGGTTTTTTGAATAAGAAGGTGTATGCCACAAAACCCCTAATATCCCTAACCTCATCAACACCACTTCCACCAAATTGAATGCCATAAGCTTAGACATGTGCTAGAAAGCAGTGAATGACATTCCCCAGTGATGCCGTATGTGTTATGATCAGAATGGGAACCAATTTCAGTGGCAAAAAAATTAAATCCCTGCATCCCAGAAACCTCGCACCCAATTTGGACAGAGACTAAGACTAAGTGAATGTATCTGATGAGGTCAAGGATGATAGGGGTTTTGTAGCATACACCTTCTCTTTCAAAAACCCCCCCAACCAGTAATCATAAACCATCAGGTTTAGCAGTTGTTAAAGGTCTAGGCTTTTGAATGATACAAAACTCATTTCCATCAGAAAAAAATAGATAGAATGATGTACAAAACTTGGGGTGGGGTTTCTGGAACACCCTGTACATATACTGTATATAGTAAAACCTGTGCTCACCTGGCCATTTTCACACTGCCAGAGATCAAGATTTGTGGCCTTCTTGGCACTGGTAAATGAAAGAATGGCCTTCTTGACCCAAGTGAGCTTGAAAGCAGGTCCCACATGGGGATCTTGAGCAAATTGAACCACCTTGGTGGGAACTATGTCTGCTGACAGTTCAGCATATCCCTGCAGTGATCCACTTCCCTCAATGCTGAGCAGAATGTACACCACCCTCCCGACCTAGATACAAAAAAAAATTGGGAAACCATGCAACGTGTATAAACCAAAAGGTTCTACTTTTAAAATAATGAAAATGGGCACACATTAAGGGAAGTGAGGAGTCGATTTTCCACACCATGAGAAAATGCCCATTGACCAGCTTGACATCCAGCATGAATTGTGTCTTGGTTGGAGGCTTTGATGAGGTGATAGTGGACACTATGTTCAGTACGACTTCTACTTCCTGTACATCACAACCGTTTACGTTGAGACTCTGTACTCAGTCACCACAAGACACGGGATGAGAGAAACATTGACTCACCAGCACCGATTTTTTCTGCTGACAAAGCAGGAGCCTTCTGGTTTTGCTGTTGGTGTCCATCTGCAAGCAGATCAGAAAATCTTTCTTCCAGGGAAAATAATGTTGGGGCAGAAGGGATGAAATGGACAAGAAACACACTTGGAGGGAATTTGAGAACAGAAGAAAGGCACATGAAACGAGGCTTCAGCCCAATGCCATGCGGGACACGAGCATCTAAGTGTTTCTCTTCCTTCAAGAGTACTGTGACCAGGCTCTGCATTGCTGACTCCTCAGACTGGATGATTTTGTCATTATTATACAATCACTCCCACCAGATGCAGATATAAAATAAACTGTAGCCAACAACCACCTGGGACCAGGGCTTGAATGGAAATGATATGCGATGAAGGAAGTAGGAACTCCATTTGAGCCTCAAGAAAGCAAGCCAGTAAGCATCACGTGGTTCCATGCGGAAACTGATCCACTCATCAAGGATCACATTGCACACATTTCCTTCTCCCCTTGTGCTAACATCTGCAATTCATCAGTTAGAATGACCCAAGACATAAAAGAGAAGGGCTGATAAGAGGGAAATGACTAAGAGGTCAACCTGGTGAGCTGAGATTGAATGGGCACAGTCTCTCTGGAGGGATCTTTGGACTGCCAGAGAGTAAAGCAATTGGAATAGGGCTGACAGCAGTGCAACATTGTAAGAACAGGCCCTCCTGCTTGTGAAAGATGATCCAGTCCGTGTCCAAGTGTTTCCACCCACCTTCTGGGCCACTGATGTATGACTCATTCAGCACAGACAATGGTTCACACTCCACTTCACATTTATTCCTAAACAAAAGTGAATAGAGAGATCAAAAGGAACATCCCATACAGGAGAAAGAAAATCACCAGAATGAGTCTCACTCAGTGCAGATCCTCTCCATTTCCCGATCAACATATGCAATGCAAGGGTAGGAACCAGCCACTAAAGCTGCCTTCACAACTGACCAGCTCTCTGAAAAGACATTGAGGTCCCTCATATCACTAGGCCCTCTTGGACGAATAAACCCCGAAGCCCGGAGTTGTGCAACCAGCTGACACCGGACAGCATTGGCTTGAGCCAGTGCATGTGGGCAGGCATAGTACTGGTTGCAAAAATTTTCTTCCTGATCACTGGATCTGGCCTGCTGCCATAACTAAAAGGCAAGCAAAACAATGACAAATGCTTGCATTCATAGAAAGGAAAATCTCCATTTCAAGCAGCAATACGTTTGATCAACCCACCTGAAAGACTCTCAAGAGTACAAAGTGATCACTGAGGCATCCATCAGCTAACTTGTTCCTCATTCTATATGCAGCTCTCCTTCCTTCTGCTGTCTCAGGTAGCCAGAAAATATTCCTAACAGAATGCATTCCAGATTTCAATTAAGCATTTAAGGAAGATTCAAAACCAAAACATACAGGAAGAGAAAATCACAAAAGACCAAAAGGCCAACGCACGGCTGGATCAGGCAGCAGACAATGGTCAGTATGGGATCAAGACACTTGAGAGCAATGGCATAAAGGACCATTTTTCCCAGCTGTGGATCAAGTGGAAGATCTAGGCAATTCAGGCCAAGTTCCATGAGTCCTCCATGCTCATCAAATATCCCTTGCTTCTCCAGAGACTTGATTGTCTTCAGGATATCCTCAGATGGTACCTGATGTGGGAGGAAGCTAAGGAAGGTCGCCAAGCGGACATCATTTGGTAGCAAGGTCCTTGCAGTCACACACAAGTTCTACAAAAGGAAAAAGCATGTTTAGGGGCAAGAGGAATTTCACTATCCTTTCACACATTTTCCAAATGCTCCACAGGATGGAATTTTCATTAGCATAAGAGGAACTGAAAGTAGTTCTTGCTTCTTAGGCTTTAGAAAAATTCAAGTCATAAAACACAAAAATATCCTATATCCTCCAAGCATATAAGAATATCTAGTCATTATATATATATAATGGGAAAATAATTATGTTCCACTATCACCCTTTAAATAAATAAATAAATAAATAAATAAATAAATAAATAATTCACAGGATTATTCTCATCTTTGCATTCTTCTGACAGATTTATAAATTGAAAACAAACTTCTCCCTTTCTACTGCTGTTATCATTTCTCATTACATACAAAAAGGAGTCATACCAGTTCCTAGTGGCAGCAAAATCTAAAATGTTTTTGCTGAAGTTTCAAAGAGCACAGAAAGAGGATACACAGTAAAAAGAATCAGAATAAGACATAAGGAAAATACAACCCCAAAGCTCCTTCATATAGAGTGTGGCCAAATAAAAACAAAGCTATCATTTTTAGCAAGTTGTTAATCTGCTTGTAGGTTGCTGATTATGGTGAAATTTAGTAGACTTCTAAGGTAACTCATTTACAGTTTGTGTGCCAAGTTTCAAATAAAAATTCCAAAAACTGTGAGATTGGCATTTAATTCATTTTTCATCACCAAAAAAGTAAGTATTCTCTTTTTCTTCCAGCTTAAAATTTTTCACAACTGACAAAAACAAACAAGCAAGCAAACAAACAGGAGAAAAACAAATTCATAAATGCCAAAAACGAAAGCACATAATTTGGTTTAGGAAAGTTCATTTCAACTAAAAATTTGCTCAATGAACCGAATGAATTCTGTTGAACACGAGCCTCTAGTCTGGGACACCACAGATCATTGGCTTGGTCAATAAACCCATGAGGCAGTGCCTCCCAATCTTCCTTTGTAGCATCACACAGGGATGGAAGGTCATGAATTCAGTCCTCCCTTTCATCCCAGCATCAAGTTCATATTTATATATTTGGCAACACATTTTGTCATTGGTCATCAGAAAATAATTACAACTCTTATAATTTCAGAGCCAGAAGACTGCAATTTGGTATACAAACTCCAATTGTGTCACCCCGTGAGCCTACCAATTTTCATCAGAATCAGCTGCCTACAAAGAGATTGACAACTCCCCAAAAATGACAGCTTTGTTTTCTTTGGTCCACCCAGTATATATTTCTCACAATTGTCTCAAAAAGGAATACACTTTTTGATAAGTTGCAAATCTGGTCTGTACTAATGACAGGGACACTGCATGGCATATGACTGCACAACATCACCCACAGGAAATTATTTTAGTCTGGCAGCCATAATATAACTTAATGCTTTGGCTCACCGGAAGAAGCTTCTGAGAAGAGTTCTGGCCTTGATGTTTCAGGATGAGGAATCTCGCCTTTGGGTACATGTGGTAGCATGTGCCTTGTGATTGAAGCATGAGCAACCGATGATTAGCCTCTTCCTGTGTAATCCATTCAGCCTGGACAGAGCAACATGACAAGAAACAATGCATGCAAAGGAAATAGGCCTTAGAGAAATACTTTTTAAGTAACTCACCACTGATCGACCACAATCAATGACATGGAGAACACCAGGAAGCTCAACATGACAAACCCATGCATGTGTGGTCAGGTAAACAACACGAGAGTTCCCATCAAACTTCAAATCTGTGCTCTGTATTATATTACAATGATGAGAATCTCATGAGAAAATAACATTTTCCACAGTATGATCAGAGATAGAAAAACTCAGACCTACAGGTATGAAAGGATGGATCAAAACAGCAGTGAACTGCAAGTTTTTCCCTCGAGCTTTGAGGGTCTTCAACAAATCACACACTTCTAAACAGCTTGACAAGAAGACCAGAATGTTCCCTGGAAGATGAAAGTGAAGCCCCAACATTCATGCAAGGAGACAACAATCTAAAGCTAGTCCCTCATTAATTAATTACAGTCTCACTATGGGGACAAGAGGTTGAGCAATCTGCTGTGATTGTCAGCACTAAAGGAGGATGTGAAGGAAGTGAACATGGAGGAAGTGATAGATGAATTGGCAGAAATGAAAGTTCATAACCCACTGTTGTGGCAAATCCCATTGGTTTTGTGGGTATTAAAATTGTTGCTTTATAGTCTAAACCCAAGAACTACGAATATGCTTTACACCTCTTGAACTTCCATTTGACAGATTTCCTGCTGTTAAGCGTAGCCATGGGCAAAGTTTCATTTAATTAAATACTATTCTTCTAACTGCCAACTCTATTACAGTAGACTAAGGATTTCTTATGCTGATTTAAAATTTCACAAAATCCTGAAATTAGGCTATTAATATTTTGCAAAACCGAACTTCACAACTGGACCACAACCTATGATTTCACCCATTCCCATTGCCCATTTGGAAAAAAATTTCAAAAACAATTTAATTTCACGATTCATCATGCCTTGTAATATTTTCAAAATAAAAATAGCTGCTAATATTGCTTGCTTAACTGCTTTTTTCTTCAAACTGCATAGCTTTTCATCCCCAATTGCAGGTTTTATCAAATGATTTCCCCATTGATAAGGTTTAAATTTATTTACAGGTTTTAAGGACATCTGAATCTCAACACATGCATAAATTGGGAATTAGGAGCTCCAAAGCCACTCTGTAAGATCATTTGAAAATAGCATTCAAGATAATAAATATGGAGAAGTTTATTTTTTTTAAATCAATTTAAATGAGTCAACTTGTAGTAAACCAAAGTGAAAGTGACCTACCCAGCACTTCAACTACCCTAACAGTGCAGACAAGACAATCGGACATGAAAAAGAAGACACCCACCTTCACATTGCAAGAGAATCTTCTCAATGAGAAGAGCATGGAGACTGATGTCAATTCCTTTGAAGGTTGTGACATTCCTAAAGAGAACGAGTATTACCTAACAAAAGAGGTTCTCAATTTCAGTCAGGAAGGATCTGTGGCAAAACGTACGTGAATGTAGCGAGGAAATTTGCCAAGTCGTCAAAACCTCTTACCCGAGCCCAGTCAGCAGGAAGAGACCGGTCTGGCATGATTACAAGAGGATTAGCACCCATACAGAGGAAGAACCTCGCAGCCACACAGGAACCATGTGCTGCAGCAACTGCAAGGGCTGTGATCCCCATCTTGGAATGCTAAGAAATAATGGAACTCTTAATAATTTTTAAGTACTTATTGAACTAAGAAAAAGACTATAGGCATTGTGCATTGAGATGGGTAAGCTAAATGTTGCAAGCATGATGGGTCCTCCTTAGTGGCAGTTCATGCATGAATAATCATTCATGGATGAATAATCTAGGGAGGCTAGCTCAAGATCTTCAAACTCATTGTTCTATTAATTTCAGCACAAGGCATAAAAGTTGTTTTCAGGCAAGTTTTATCATTTGATGAGGAGTAATTCTCAGAGTGGCAGGTGGCAAAAGAAGGCTGACTGAAAAAACTGCTCCACATTGACATGAGAGAATAAGCATTCAATGACTGAGTTATCTTATGTAAAGTCAAGCCACCTAAGTTTCGCTGTTAGCATGAATCCCTGTGTAGTGTTAACTTTTTAAAATTTATTTAAATTTATTTATTTAAATTTTATAACTCAGTACATGGGTGGCTCCCAATCAACCTGCAGTACTGGTCCTGTTTCTCCACCACTCCATATTGTGCAGACCATTCCCATTATCCTACTTCATTCTCTCAGGTATTAATCTGGAGCATAGTTACCCCTTATTCAGCTATTGCTATGCCACCTCCTGCCTGTCTCCTAGCTTGGTTTAGAAAGCAATCATGAAATGAGCTGCCTTGAAAGAAGGTAGTTAGAAGCCATACTTGGGTATCAACTGAGATATGGCTCTTGAGGAAGAATGCAGCTAGGGTGGTGAGAGCATCCTCATTCCCAATATACCATGCTCTTTCCAGCTGGATGTCTGCCTCTGCCTGGAGTTCAGGTGTGACTTCTTCATTCTCCACACACCATCGTTGCTCCTGAATACACAGAATATTCCAAGCTCAATCCCCAATTACTCAAGAATGAAGTGCTCAAGTTTTAGATGACTCAGGAATGGAACATCAGCTTGAAAACTGAAGATCATGTCGCGATCACCACCTTTTATGGGGGCTCAAGCGAATCAGATATCAATTCTGTCATCACATCCATTGCCTCCACCAGCCATGGAAAAGTCTACAATGGTTACTCAAAATTCACACAAAGACTTGCCTCAAACAATTGTGACCAGATGGAAGATAGTTGTGATGCAGACTTCTCAGACACAGACTTCTGAGAGCCTCCCTGGAGCCAAAATTGCATGATCTCCATGTCCATCACCTTGGCATCACTCATCCCTGACCTCTTTTCAGCACTTTCATCCATGCTGTATACACATCAGGAATAAGCATGACAAGAAATTCCTAGTGATGCAAGTTGGAAGGAGTTTACTTCTTACCAATAAAAAAATTCACTGCATTTACCCATATAACAGAAAAAGATGGTAGGATATACTGTCAAATGACTTGAGAAACTCATAATTCAATAATTTGACAACTAGTTGAAAATAAAAACTAATTACCTTTTGGCAATTAAATTAACAAATCTGTTTCTAGTACTACTGCCACAACCAACAACTGTTTGAAGTAGACTTGGAAGTAGTTAAAACAGAATGATACTGAAAATACAAGGCATACTCATGACTGATACTGAAATCACCTTGTACTGTAAATGGAAATGTTTCATTACAAAATTCTTGCCCATATAGAAAAAAAATAAAACAGGAACAAAACTTTTTAGCACTGGCTGCTGTCTGATAGCCAGTTTCAGAGGATTTCCCTTCCAATCCTTAGTAAAAAATATGGCATGGTCAGGAAATGATTTCTTACATTTCAACAGGAAAGTAGGCCAAGGTAGGTAGGACCCCCCTAAATTGCAAGGTTCCCTTTGTAGGCTTTGGTTTTCCATATATGTTCATCAATGGTTCTGTGCTTTGGTTTTTGGCCCAAGAGGACATTGATGTATTGGAATGATAGTCTATCACATATCAAGGAAATTATTATCTGGCTGCCATAGTGCATCAATGATGCAAATTTACTTTGTTAAAAAAAAATTTTTCAGGGAAATGCAGGGGGACTCCACTTCCCCAGTAGCATGAGGCATATTGGTTCTGGGCCTATAATTCTGATACAAATGGAGTTGCATAGATAAGATGGGACATATTAAGACCATCTCTCTTTACTTCTCTTCCCAACTGCAAGAAATTTCAAATTTCTTGCAGTTGGGATAATAATCAATAACTAAATTATAGGCTCAAGTCCAATTATTTTAAGCTCTGAATAATGTAAATAATTCAAAATGGGAAGTGAATTCAAGCTTTTCGAGTAACTGCCATGCAGAACACCTTCATCAGTCTTTCTTTTCTAGTTGGCAGCATTTGCCTACTGAGTCATTCCATATAATTCATTCAATATAAAAATACAAACTTTAAGAATTATGGAAGCAAGCTTAGGGCAAGTGGGGAAATCAAAATCCTGGCAAATCTTGACATCTATTGGGCAAGTGGGACCCCCTCTTTTTGCAAGTTTAGGAGCAGCTCATTTCTAATATGCAAGACCAAACAAAGAACCACTATCAACACCTTGATTTCACATAACTTGCATTCATTGCAAGGACATGAAGAGATAGAAGAAATCAAATCTACAAAAGGGTGTTCTTTGCACAATTTGGCATTTTCACCCAGCATATTGTATAATTGGACCAAACAGGCATTCTGTTTGGTCCAATTATACAAAGATTCACTATTATGGTGGAAGGACACCAGAATGAATGTAACAGCTAACTTCAACAGCAATTTAGCAAGAAAAAATTAGGTGGAGGAAGCCCAACTTACCCTGGCTAACTTTCCTAAGAATGAAGCCATCAAAACTGATTTGAGTTTCAGTTAACTGAAGTTGAAATTAATCAAATTCCCACAGCAAAACTGAAAGAGACAAACAGACACTAGGACAGCATAAGTTGCTATGGCTTCAAATTGTATATGTGGACAGCATAAGTTGCTATGGCTTCAAATTGTATATGTGGACAGCATAAGTTGCTATGGTTTCAAATTGTATATGTATTCAAAGTGGGTGCTTCACCCCCTCCCCCACTCTTTTTACTCATTCATTTTGACAAACTAAAACTGATCAAAAATGCAGAATCAAAGTCAATCAATATGTGGGCAAATTTTGTTCAAAGAGGTGCTGAAATAAATTCCTCTCAATCTGATGAAGACCAATTCCTGGATTGGGCTTGCTCAGGTTGATATACTTTGCTAGAGTAAGACAAAATGAGTTTGTTCACTTCCTTTTCAGTAGCCAATATACTTTCTGGGATACATGATGCAAAAATCAGCAAGGTCTAAAATACTTGCAATTTCAAGAAGCAAAAGCTGAAGCACGTTCAGGTTAGTATTGCAAAGGGGAACCACATGAATCACATACATGCCTTCAACCAAGCATGCAAGCATGCATGTGTGTGCAACACTTAACTTGGCACATTGCAAACATGCTATGAAAGGAAAAGGTGAATAAGATTGGTGCTTCTAACATGACCACAGAAACTTAAACCAAGAAAGTCATGAGTAGCTTGTACCTGAAATGCCTAATTAACAATGGGTACACCTGAAGTCGCTATTTTGATGGGAAAAAAAAGGAGTACCAGCACAATGAATATAAAATTGTAGGTGCACAAGACTACTAAAGAATGAACAGGAAGCAGGCTTTTATGAGCTAGAGAAAAGTGTCTGAAATAAGTGTATTAATGTCAAACTATGCAAATATAAGAGAAAAATAATGAACTCCTAAAATTGGGATTCATTCACACATAGGGCACATCAAAAAGCATCATTTTCCTGGTTCATAAAAAATGGAGGGAAAAACTGAAAAAATCAGTGCTCGAAGCATCAACTCCCACACAGTCAACCCTCATTATACCACCAACCTTGCTTGTCAACTCTATCCTATTAAGAAATCTTTCCCAAAAACTTACAGTAGGCAATCCTCCATCACCACCCACTAACTCCATTATTCATATGAGGATGCTTTCTTCCAAGAATCCCCCCGGATTTTAGCTAAGTAGCATATCCACCCCGACCTTCATGCAATACTCAAACATAGCTAAATGCTCATTGTAGACTTTGCACCCAATTGCAAAACAGATATTGATACTTTGCAAGGTAACTCATATGAAATGGATAGTGCACCAGAATAGTGTAGAGAAACAGAAGGGGCTAAGGGTGGCAAGAAAAGTTTCACTTTATTTTGGCAATTTGTCTTTTGGAGATTCCAATCTTTACCAGATAGCCACTACAATACTACAGTTCCCTTGATATAGCACTAAAATCAGAAATGATGAAAGGTGGTTTTATAACAAGGGTTGACTATGTCTTTGAGAGGACAGATGCATAATATGCAATAGAATCCTTGCTCTAAACATCAAAATACACAATTTTTTAATTTTTAAAATGATACTAATCACTTCCTCTGAGAAATATGTACTGCTATCTGGGTCTTATGTCCCAACATTGCCACAAGAAAAATATGCTTTTACATAAAAATCTGCCCCCTCAAGATAAATCACATTCCTTTCTTCCTTCTCCCATTTGTCCCAAAGCTTCCCACTGTCTCCTGTAACCTTTCACTTTTCCTTTTGCTTGATCCTTGTCAGCAGATGACTTTGGTATCCACAACTCCAGATAAATTAGAAAATACCAAATCTTAAATCCTACTACCACTCTCATTAGAAGCACCATCATGCAATCTGCATTGTTATGTAAAGATCAGTTGGGAAATGCAAATGAAAGGAGAGACCCAATGAGTACAAAACATGTAACAAACCCTTCACAAAGCAAAATGTCTTCTAAGAAGGCTTCCCGAGGGTACCCACTGGTGGACGTGACTGCATCACATGAATTTGTAGAAATAAGTATGACAATAGGGTTGCAGAAAATAAGACCAGATAATACAAGTCATGAGCAATTCAATGACTCCTTTTTAAAATTCATATTGTAAAGGGAAGCAATCATTAAAAATGCTAATTCCAATTTCACATTGTACCCAAATTCATATTTTGAATTTTTCAGAGACCCACATTGCAATCTGCAATGAAGCACAAATACATGGCTAAGACCTACTCAATTTTTATTCTAGTACTGGTACCATGACTTTTTATGCAAGTTTAAATAGAAGCAAATATTGTCCTGTAAATTTTCCAAAAGCAAAGAGTCCAAAGCCAAGCATTTCTCATGAAAGAGAACACCAGAACTAAAGTCACTTCCCCTGTTCATACATAGAACTTGATCTACATTCATAAAACCCAAAAAAAAAATAATAATATAGTAAATTTGGCTCAGAACAAAGACAGGTCCAAATAAAGGTCAGCTTATCAAATGAGAAGACACATATAAAAGAAGCACAACCATAGCAAGACATATTTGAGAGATCAACTTGCGACGTCAAAGTGATTCTTATAGAGAGGGATTGTCTATGGCATATGGACAAACAAAAATGCAAATTTGTGGGGCTGACTGGAAACAGCAACAATATCCAATAAGACTTCAATATCCCTTGGATGTCAAGCAGCAGTCCTTGAAAATAACTTTCTTGTATTCAAAAACTTTCAGCCAGTCAACAATAAATTAAATTTCTGCAAGTTTATTTTTATTCTGAATTGCACATGAACTTAATTGTAAAAAAAAAACAAGGACAGACAACAAGTCATCTCAAAGAATTATCTAATGCTGCTGTATGACTGAAGAAATGTACAGGGTGGGCCATGAATCACGCTGCAACTTGAAGTGCAGATAACTTTTGTCATAAACTCCAATTACTTTATCTTTGTTTCAGGCTGAAGATTATTAATTGGAATTATAATAAACATGGATACCTGGGATTTGCCAGAAAGAACTAAAATTTTGGAGCTTAATTTCAAACAGGATTCCATGACATCTGCTCAATGTGAATTCAAGAGAGAATTGCACCGTAGAGATGCACCCAGCCATTGGACAATAATGTGACTCATTGAGAAGTTCAGCACAGAAGGAAATATAAGAAGAAAAACTTATAGTCAGCCTTCAATTAGAATGCTGGGAAAAATTGCAGCAATAAGTGCTGCAGTGCAATAATGCCCTAAAAAATCAACAAGAAAATTGTCAGCAGAGACTAATGTTAGTCAGACGAGAGCAAAGAGAATCTTGCACCAGGACCTCCATTTGTTTCCATATAAACTCCAACTTGTTCAGAACCTGAAACCTCCAGATTATGGGAACAGATTATGCTACTGTCTAACCATGCTAAAAAGACAATGAAAATGTCTTAACATCACTCTTCTTGTCCAAAGCAGTTCATTTTGATTTGAATGGCCAAGTCAACAGAATTGTCATATATGGGCTGAAGAAAATCCTCAGATTATTCAGGAAAGATAAATGCATCCAAATCATGTTACTGTGTAGTGTGCTGTATTTGACAACAGCCTTAATTTTTTGAAGAGGGTGATGTCGCTGCAATAGCGAATGCAGAGCACTACCAAAACATGTTGGAACAGTTTTTTTCCTGAACTTCATAGGAAAATAATTCCTCTATGCTCTACATGGTTCCAACAAGATGGAGCAACATGCCATGTGACAAGAAATGTAATGGATTTATTGCACCAAAAGTTTGGTGAAAGACTAATTTCAAGGAATGGTCCAATTCCCTTTCCTGCCAGATCACCTGATTTGATTGCACTCGATTTCTTTTAGTGAGGCTATTGCAAAGCTCATGTATACAAAAGCAAACCAAACAATCCAGAAGAGGTGAAAGAAAGAATCCGACATGTAATCAGCGGAATGAGCAGAGAAACACTAGTTGCCTCAATGAACAATGTTCTGGCGCAATACAGACACTGTGTTCAGGTTAATGGTGCACATCTGAAGCAGGTAATTTTCCACAAATAACTTCATAGTTTCTCCAAGCTAATGACACTAAATGAATCTCCAAATTGTATTTTACATCTGTGTAAAATTTGACCTTACAGCTACAATATATTTAAGTTTTTTGTAAAATCAATTTGTAGCATAATTGGTGGCCCACCTTTTAAAAAAGAAAGCATCAAAATCAATTAGAACACAGAATAGTTCTGTAGTTTACCATTGGATATAATTGAGTCCAATATTTTTTTTAGTATCCATGTTGTTCTCCTCACAGATAACGACTATTCTTCCCTGATGACCTGCACCATACTCTTCTCTTGTCTCCCTTGTCTTATGCCCTCTTTCTTACTATCTATAATTCAAGCCCATCTTAATATATTTGAAAACAAGTCTAGCTCAGATCCAATTATCTAGAGTTTTCCCCTGGCTGGTTTACACTTCACTTCACTTCATCACATAAAGAAAGGTCCAGATAATGGATTGTTGGATGAGACAAAGAAACATTTTTAATTAAGTAAATACAACAACACTTCTTACATTCTTGACGCTCCTTGGTCTGAAACATGCTCTTAGGCATAAATATAAACATCTTTGTTACAGAAGTTCACAACTGAAACATGAACCTCACAGAGTTCAAAGGGAGACAAAAGTATAAGCAGAATGGACTAGAACATGGATGGAAAGCAATCAGGAACACAGTAACAACTGATGAAGCAACACGAGATGCAATATACATGGAAAGTACAGGGTGGTCCATTATAAAAATTTTTTATTTAAAAGGCTGTATCTTAGCATCCAGTGCAGCAAACTATGCCAATATATAAATTTTGGAAAGCCCTGGACAAGATCAACAGCATGAGTCTATTTTTGTTTTATCATCATCTTCAAATCAGGTTTTCGAATATATGAATTTAATGCTCATTTAAGGCTCACAGACATCCTACCATCCAAGCTCTCATGCCACCAAAAGCTGATTTGATTTTGCCAGAATTGAATGTTTTGATTGTTTCTTCAATTTTTGGTTTGATCTTGTGCTTGTTGTGACCAGTGTTGTGTCAATCTTTCAAGATTTGAAAAATTGCTCAGGATGTGTTACATTTAATTTGAAAGATATCATTAAGGGCTTTCCAAAAAACTTAAATTATACATAGTTTACTCCACTGGGCAGAAAGATGCAGTCTGTATTTTAAAAAAACTTGGATGCCATGAACCACATTATAGTGAGTTCACCAAAAAGCACAAGTCACAAGTCTTTGTCAAATTGTACATGTTCAAAGGCCTTCCTTGTCATACTTAACATGAGTGCAGGAAAACCAAGCCAATGGTAGACAGGGCAGTCTTGAAAAAAAGACACAGATTCAATATAATGTGTCACTCTTCCACTAGCCTGAGTTTTAATTCATGCTTCCCCCTACATCCCACTTGGATCATTAGAAGAAATGATAGCCTACCCCATGAAGACCTAGCAAAAATGCTGTAAGTTTCAAATAGCTCAAAATACTACTTACCTGCTGTTTGGTGCAAGTCATTTATCAGCATTTTTCAAGTATGATTCAAGTTGTCACATTGTTTGATAATCACCAAGATTTTGTTTTCCTTTCCATATTTCATGGTAAGACTACAACATAAACAGCAGCCATAATAATGTTTTGCAACTTCCCACTGAATATTGCTATTAACAGAAACAATCAGAAGTAGCCTGCATGGATACTCTGCCTTCAATATTTCAAAGAAAGCCAATCACATCCCTAGAGTGAATATTAGATGACTCATGCACATCCAAATTTACTTATTCAATATTAGGGTTCAATTGAAGTAGAGTGAAAAAAGGAAAGTCAAACCTTGAGACATCTGGTACCAAACCAAGTCAGAGTGACAGATTTTTCCATGTGTAAATGCAAGCAGGATGAACAATTGAGGGAATCTAGCACCTTGACCATTCCAAAGAGCATATCAGCAGCCAGAATGCACTGTGCAAGGGCATGACAAACATTGATGCATGTAACAACTCACCCTCAAAGATTGGAGCCTTATTGAAATAGGTGGAAAGAAGTTGGGCAGTGGTTCGATTAATGTCAGAGATGATGATGATCAACCGCATGTGAGTTGTGCGACTGAGTAGGTCCCTCAATGCCAGCAGCAGAAGGTTTGCCTCCCAATTCTCACAAAACTCCTCCATGTCATCCAGGATGAGATGAGAGACAGTTGCAATGAAACCACTTCCTGACATCAGGCTTCGCAACAAGACATCATGGGTGCAGTAAGTTAGTATGGCTGATGGAGGAACCCTAAGAATATGCAGAGGATGAAAAATGCTCCAAAAGTGATATAAAAAAAAGCCACAGGGTTATAATGGCAGCATACATGCTCTCAAGACGGGCAACATATCCTGTTGTGAGACGAGAGGTTTCTCCTCGATCTTCAGCAACCTGAGATGCCAACTGTCCAGCTGATAGGCGAGTTGCCTGTGATGACACGAGGCGCATGTAGTATTGCTCCTTATGATACTCATCCATGATGAACTGTGGAATCTTTTTAAAATAAGAATGCATCAATTGAAATCACAATCCCTCATATTGGCATTATAAATTCGGGCTGCATCATCATGATTCTCTACCTGTGATGACTTCCCACAGTGTGGAGGACCAGTTATGATAACAACTGGACAGATGGCAATGGCAAAGATGAGAAGCTCCCTTAGATCCATGATGGAAGAGAAGGTATGATGGTTTGGGTCAGGAATGCATCTTTCTGGAGGGATCTGCACTAGGCCCATGGCGAGAAAGCCATTGTTTCGACAGTAATTGACTGCATATTTAAAAAAAAATTGGATTTTAGTGAAATACTTCCTCCTACCATAATAATTGGGAAAGCTTTACAAGCACATAATGCAAGCAAAACATGCAAGAATTTATACATTGAAAAGAACAGTGTAGGAGAAAAACTTTTCAAGGAAAAAAATCAAGAAGGTTATCTCTTAAATCAGGGGTGTCAAACTCAAATCGGTCGGCGGGCCACATTCCTTATCCTGCAGATGCCTGTAGGCCGCATCCATACTTTTTCACCAAAATTTGTGCTATTAGTCAATCCAAGCAGAAATTTCAAGAACAGGCAACGGGCCGGATGAACCACCTCCGCGGGCTGGATCCGGCCCGCATGCTTGACACCCCTGTCTTAAATGAAAAAATTCCCTTTACTTTTAACAAATTTTATTTTTTTTAAATATTATAGAAGCAAGATACCAGTGACCCAGAATGGAAATCCTGGCAAACAGTTCTTAACTAATGAATGTACTTCTCCATTTAAAAAAAGGCTTGGAAAGAGAGATCAGAGTGAAAAAGAGAAGCCTTTTTCCACAAGAATATAACATTAAATGAAAAAAAGTTGAAATGTAACAAACATTTGACCATAAGCTCATTCTCCACAAGACTTAGAGATAGGCCTCAAAATGAAAACATATAAATTACTTAAGAAGCTTCCATGGCCAGTGTCTGATATACAGGGTGATCAAAAAGTCACTGTGCATTGGAATTCATTTATTTTGTTGCATGTATTTAATATTGTATCACATGTATTGCATCATCAAAGACATGAATTTCCACTCAATACTTCATTAAATATTAGCACCATCCCTGATTCACATAATTTATTGTCTGTAATTCCTAACTACAGTGAGGCCTCCTGCATCATGTCGTGAATTCTACTGCATTGACTTTTCGAACACCCTGTATAATGCATGTAATCTCAATATCAAGCATCTGGGGAAAAACTCAAAACAGCCTACCTGGAAAATTATAATACATTAATTGCTAATATCACATAATATGAAATAGTGATGATGGTTTCTATTTATTGGTGTATTTTCCCTTTAAAGGTATCAACACTTATATGCCACTGCTAATAACCAGAGTGAGAAGCAAAAGGAGGGTGCTTTACATAACCTTGTAACTACCAATACCCAGATGGTCAGATATTTAACTTAGTTTCATCCTTTCATTCCCAGAGAATCTCTTCAAATCATTTGGCCTAATTGCTACCACATTTTCATGAGAATACACAATGTTGGACTTTCCAAGGTCAGAGCACAACATTCACAAATGGCTAAATTTTGTGTAAGAACAGTAGTTACAGGGTTAAAGTTTTGGAGAGGCTTCACAGTCATCACAGCCAAATTTTGATCCATTGCTAAATGAAGGCCCCTCAATGCATTTACCATTTGAAAAACTAAATGGAAGAAAATAACACCTGGAGGAGTATTTCATAACGATGTGGCTCCCAAAGAGAGCGGTTCCATTTGTTCCTGTATTGAGTAGCATAAACCAAAGAAAAATGGGGGATTCTTTGTTAGACACACCACCATTCACCTATGCACACCTCTCAATTAGTAGGTGGACTGATGTGTACGTAGGTGTGAAATTGTTCTGAATGGGGAGTGGAGCAAATGGGGCATGGAGGGTGGAAGGGGAGGAACATCACCCTTCCCCCCCTACCTTAGGGTTACCATGTGTCCAGTTTTTCTCATACATGTCCTCCTTTTTCGCCTTCAAATCTTTGTCCCAGTGGAAGGCATCCTCTTTTTGGCTGTTCGAGATATGGTAATCCAACCAAACTCTTTATATTACTTTTTTACCCTCTTCCGAACAAGTCTTGACACATCAGTCTATTGTAAAACGTAGGTTTGCAGCCGTGCATAGTGTAGTCCATACACAGCCATGGAGCTGAGCAGATATTGTCATGATTTGATGCTGAAGCAAGACATTCATGCTGTCCATGTCATCATGACACCATAGTGCACATATAGTATGTCCCTTACTCCAGCATGTACATGCAATTTCCTGGTCAGTGAGAGGTCAAGTCCCTGAAGTCAACTGCTTCACCATCACTACTCACTCAGCCTCAACCCCTTGTGATTATCTCTTCCTTCCAAAGGTGAGAACATTCCTTCTGAGATGATAAGAAGGAAATTATTTGGGCCCCACCATGGTGACAATTATGCTTTCTGAGAGCATTTAGAGTGGAATAAGTGTCTCTTAATGTAGTTTCATCAAATGAAACAGTGACGGAAAGTAATTTGAAGGATTGCGGTGTTTCATACAGCAACTGCAACAACCTCATCCTCCATACTAAAATGTTTTGTGGGTCATTGAACCCTGCTTTTAGTGAATGCTATTCCTGCAAATGACTCTCATATTTGGTGTGCAATACTCTTCATTCACCTGAAGGAACTAATATGAGGGACCCTGATATGCCATATGTTTAGGCAATGGAAACATGTCAAAATTACATGGAACTTCATTGGGACATGAAAGGTTGCATCAGATTTGTGGGTAAAAGTGTCGCACTTCATTTAGGAAATTGAGGAATCAGGAATTTGGGTGGAGATTGCCACCATCTTTCAATTAAATGGCTAGTCAGCATTCCACTGGTGGTACCACAGCCGCTCTTCATAATTCTTGTTTTAAGGGAAGACCATTGAGATTCAATCCTTTGAATTGTACCATATGACATTCTGCACCAAAAGACACGAGTCCAGGAAGACATTCAATGGAGGGCTAGTTCATCGTTACCATCAAATATTGATCTGGTGCGACTGGAACATAGTGAGTGTCTAACAAATGCAGGGTAACTCAGGTGTGCATCTAATGAAGTAGGGACTAAGCAGGTGTGCATCTAATGAACAATCCCCAAAAAAATGTATATGCAGAGACTGATGCCCTTGACCTGAATGAGAAATTCTTGAGAGAATGACCAAAGCGCTTGTGGGTGGGGAGAGAAAACAAAATATGAGTTACAGAACAGATACAAGGTAGCACTACTGTAAATTTCCTAGCAACAACTATTTTTAAGGAATTCTAAGATGGGGATATGGTGGCAAAAAATTTACAAAATGAAAATGGCTTACAACCTTACAGGGGGAGCAAAAGCACTTTAAGTTCCCATGACTTTTATTTTATGCTATGGAAAGTCCTGATACCCCAACACCCCAGTTTTCAGCCACTTATGCCCGTTTCTGGCCATGCTGACAACTCCCATAAGAAGTGGACACCCTGTGTGTACTCTGGGAAACATTAGTAATAGGTCCTCATACAGGAAGATGTTGATAGAATGCTTGATAACGGCCAGATTAATTATGCTGGATTTAAGCCTCACTGGCCAAATACTGGAGACCAGCCAGAAACCAGGGTGCTTGTCCTAGTGTATATCTTTTGCAGCAACCAGTTAGAAACTTACTGTCCTTTTTCTCCTTCTCAGGATGAACTTGAAGCCCCATTTTCTCTTTCATAGTAAGGGGGAATCTTTCGTGCAAGCTTGAGATCTGGAGTCGAGCAGTTGGGAGCAACTTCAACCAAGGCTCATCACAAAGGATGGAAGACAGCTGCCTCTTGAATAATGTCACTCTGCATTCCTGCTTAAATCTGAGACATGTAAGAAAAACAAGGATATTCAAATGCTGACACCAGCAGGTCCAAAAAAAAAAATTGAGGACACTGCACCCTCACCCTCGGGTTTTGGAATTGATGCCGAAAGATCTTGCAACATGGTGAACTGCTTCTCTCTCTTCACTATTCAGTGAAGACACCACATCACACTCTGAAATTTAAAATCTAATTTTCTAGAATTTTTCAAACCTAAGGATATCCTACATTTGCTTGTATGTAACAATGCCCACTTATGCCCTACCAGATTTACAAAGCCAATGGCTTGAACATGCTTCAGTTGTCAGTAACTCACCTGCAGCTGTTGAGCATGCAAAGTCATACACATTCAAATAAAGAGCATTGTAGACTTCTGGTTGCACAGAAAATGGCACAGAATTTATCACATCACTGGAAGGACTATGTCTGTCACTAGTATCTGATGGTAGGCCTTGGCTTATGCCCAACTCCTTTGTGCCAGAACCATCACAGGTCAGAGAATCTGTGCTCCCTGACATTTCCCAGCATTCAGGCCCAAAGGGTGGAAATTCAAGCCCAGTTCCTGGAACAAGGACAGTTGGCCATGGATAAAGCATATGGTTACTGATTCATAACTCAGACAAACCCTATTTAATGGGGGTAGTAAACTAGTAAAATTAGAATTGTTTTGTCAACATATGCAAGTCACACCCATGCATAGGTATTGGTCCAGGGGAGACAATGAATGACTTGAAGGCCTTAGAGAAGTAGAAACCATGGCAACAGAAAAATGTTTTTTTTTTCAATACTCTTGAATAAGTTCACCCTACTTCAAGACCAAAAATAACAAGCTAATGCCCCATTGCCTGGCGGGCTTGATATGCTGAATGTGCTCATGCTGTAGAGGCCCAGCCTCTTGGGTCAGCAAGACCCCATGCCACATGGTACCTTGCATAGACATTTTCCTATACTTTTAGGAGCTCTATGCTGGTTTCATTTCTTTGCACATTTCATTACACCTTAATAATGACCTGAACTCTATGGGTGGATTGCATAAAAATGACTTTAGTGTAATAAAGCTTTGAACCTCCTTTAACAGTGCTAAGAGTCTTAAACCTCCTTTAGCAGTGCTAATGGAAGTTTAAAGCTTCATTATGCTAAAGTCAGTTTTATGCAATCCACCTTAATCTTTAATTCACCCAACTTCTTCCAGGAAAAAGCATTGTCCAACAGTATGCTAAATTAAGGGGAAATCTAGGTCATAATTGAGGATTCTCCAGTTTTCTCAAAGAGTTCAGGGCTGATGGGAATGTTTTGGCAGGGTCTACAGGCAAAAACCCCCTCTCTTCCTCTTGAATCCATGGGAGGGAGCCAGGAACAGGGAAGACTAAATGGGAAGGCAATTTGAAGAAGCCATAATTGAAACAGTATGCCTAACGTTTGAAAGGCTAGGCCTAATTGCAAAGAGACACAGGGTCACACTCTTACAAGTACCGATGGTGTGGTGACGTAAACTATACCAACCTCTGCCCTAGCCTAAGTTAGCTACAGTGATTCTCTTCAAATGAATCGATACCTCCTTTACCATAGTGCCTCCCTGCATACATCATGGCTTATATAGTGAATTTAGGGAGGCGAGGAGATAGCAAAGGAAAAAGTGGAATTAGGCCTATAAAGTCCTCATTACAATGTCATTAGCAAAAGCGAGGTACATTCAGAACTACTTGGTTTTTTAAATTTATTTTACACCTGTTTATGACTCTTCACTTTTCCTGAATGCCTCAAAGGTTTAGACATGTAAGTTCGCACGGGTAGTATCAATCCGATAACGTACAATTCCACGAAAAAAAAGTACGCAAACTAAAGCGATAGGAATATCCTATATACCCTCCAAATATACTTGTTTATCCTAGGTTATATGCACGTGGGAATAGCTAATTCAGGCTGAGAAAAAAAAAGTAAATTGAGCTTAAGCCACTCCAGCGACGGCCAGTTCGCATATAGTGAACGTTCGATCCCCGTCTAGATCTAGATGCAACTATGACCATGGTGTGACCGAAGCCACGTGCAGAGAGCCCCCCTCTTCGAATAGCTAGACGCGATTGGCTAGAAGGGCCTCGGCAACAGCCGCTTCCTCGCATGCAATTGGTCCTTTTCAACCGCGCTTTCGCGGGCTTAGCGTTGCTCTAGACAAAGCATGAACACGAATGTCCCCCCCCCCCCCCCCCCCCCCTCTCCTACCTTCTCCATCTCTTCAGTAGGTGTCATACCGACCACCGATCAACTTTGAAGTGCGGTTGGGCAACGAAAAGGAAGAGGGATAATGTTAGTCTGGTGACACGGATGGGAACGGGTGATGATAAATGGGGAAGCGTCGGAGGAGGTCGGAGTCGCAAGCGGTGTCCCTCAAGGTTCGGTCCTTGGACCGCTTCTGTTTTTGGGTCTACATAAACGATTTGGATCTCGGCGTAGAAAAATTAAGGAACGCTCGACCTCGACACGTGAAATCGAAATGGGCGAAATCGCCTCTTGATATCACTAACTCTCCTGACTCCTGACTCCTGACTCCTGACTCCTGACAGGCACGGAAACGAATTCAAATCAGTTACAGCCTCGAGTATCGTTTCTCAAATTTTTTAATACTTATCCATGAATCGCGTTTGAACAGGTGATCGGCTCTCTTAGTAGGGGAGCCCTTCTCGATGCAACCCAGCGATGCACCCGGTTATTCTCGAGTGGAATCAGACGTGTTCGAGAAGATCCCTGGATATGCAGCAAGTAAAAAAATTAGCAATTATATAGAAACCAGTGATGAAGGTCGAACTTGGCTCGTACCGCGCTATTCATAAGCGCTTAATCGGACGAAGAGATGCCTCTGAAACAGCCGGGAAGACGTAAAAGCGATCCTCACAGCAAGCCGGTTCCCAGAGCCCGAATCCCCCCGACCGCCCCCAACGGCTCTGCGAAGCGGAATCAAAACGAAATGAATATTTAATGTCAGATTGTTGGAGGTATAATATCTACATTTCGTAACCAATCGCTCGGAAGAAAATTTCCCTTAAAATTATGGAAGGAAATGCATGGGATGGAAAAGAGGATTCGCGTTTCAAAAGTTTCGAGGATGCGACCGAAGTGAGAAAATATTATTTACGGAAATAATTGACACGAGTCTTCGCACTTTTGAAAGAGCCATGGAAATATGCAAATCGAAGGAAGGAAACTTTTTTGTCACGCAATTTCCGTGGAAACCACGATGATCTTCTCCCTCACTTTCTTGTCCTTGCTGATCTTGCAAACATTCGGGCTCATCCCAGCGAAAGTCGACGCCAAACCGGAGTAGTTTTTATTTATTTCCCTCTTTCCCCTTCAGGATTTGCAGATTCCGCGCCTTTGCACCAGATCGCCTCGGTCTTTCGTCGGGATCCTTTTGGGAAACAAAACGAAATTTTCTCTCCGTCGGCTCCAAATTCGTGTCATTGCAGGCGGCGACTGCCCGTGCGATCGGCTTCTCCGAACGCAATCACCGCACCGCAACGCACCGGATAGCGCTCCACAAAAATCTACCCTAAGGGTAGATATTTGAACAGAGCACTATCCGATAATTCTGCTTTATTTCCAGGAAATATCATGCATTTTCCCTGGAATAAAGCTGCATTATCGGATAGTTCGCTGTTCAAGAATCCACACTAAAGCTTTATCACGCTAAAGTCAGTTTATGCAATCCACCCCAGTGTAGAAGAGCAGGCAAGGTTGGGGAGGGGGAAGGGCTGGAAGGGCAATCACGTCACTGGTACACACTCTCCTTGGTTGACTAACATCTTTCTCTCATCAATTTTGCCTCTGTTAAAAATGTGACATCTGTTGGTTTTTCTTGCCGTGTTACCTTGCCTTCGTGCTATACCAATCCGTTGTGCCAGCACGATTGCATCGTGCCGAGTTCATGGCATTCGGAGATCCCGATCGCACGTGCAGTCGCCGCCTGCAGAAGAACATCTCGTGATTGTAAAGCCGACGGAAAGAAATTTTCGTTTCGTTTCCCAAAGGATCCTGCGAAAGACCGAGGTGATCCGGTGCAAAGGCGCGGAATTTGCAACTCCTGAAAGGGAGGAGGCGCAAAAAAAAATAAAATAAAATAAAAACATCCGATTTGGCGTCGTCTTTCGCCGAGACGATCCCGAACGTCCACCGGGAATTCGCTCCGTAAATCGCTCAGCAAGGACAAGAAAGAAACGAGAAGATCCTCATCCCGACCGTGAGCTCTCTTTCCCCATGATTTGGGATTACAGCAACGCCCACCGAGGAAGTCTTCTCACAGTTTAACTTTTGAGTGGGGAATTCTCCCCGCCTATTTCCCCATCCGTAATTTAAAGGAATATTTCTTCCGAACGATCGGTCACGAAATGTGGACGTAAGGTTTCAAATAATCTCATAACATTGGAAGAAATCCATAGGCGAGAACAGTGGCGTCGCGAGGGGGGGGGCTGAAGCCCCCCCAATCTCGTCGACTCTTCAAACCTGGGGGAAAACGAAAAATGCCGGAATTGCGCCGACAAGCCTGATGTGGAATTCCGTGGAAGGTCCCGAAAAATAGTTTTGGCTTGCACAAACGAAAGCATTCTTTCCGATGCGACGCTTTGCTCGTGGAATATATAAATTAAATAAATAAATAAATTCCTTTTTGCACGTCCGACCGCTAAAAGCTGCACATCGGTTGAACCTGGAGTCGCATCTCCTCACGGTCGTTCCCAACGGTTCCTTAACCGTCAGCACGAGCTCGATCATAATCCAACGGTCGACCGGTAGGACGAAACGATGAACCCAGTGACCGATTCACCTTCCGGTATCAAATCCTTCCCTCGTCTCCGACATGAAAAAAAAAAAAATCCAGGTGTTTCTCGGAAGTAGAAGTGAGAAGTCCCTTGACAACAGAAACAAGAGAGGGAAAAAATTATTTCCTTTTTTTTCTCTCTCCCTGTCTCCTCTGAACCCACCCCCC